GGCTCTGATACAAAATAGAGATACCAGTGTTATGGATTATAATTCGTTACTTGAATATTATCTCTTCTCAGCGCTGTCCGCCACGATTTAGTATACTCCAATATTAGTTCAGAAGGCGATACATGTTAGCGCTCCGGGGTCGATGCTGGTTGGTTTGATTGTAAAATCCAAGGCCAATAAATAATTACGTCAGACAGTAGTTGATGGAGGTAGAAGTCGGAGAGGTTAGAAGCACACTATTTCTAGGTTTAAAGGCAGAACTAAAGTGACACCGCCACAACCAAAATTCCAATTTTAAGTTGCACAGATAAACATTTGTTTTTACAAGTATTAGGAAGAAGGTGTAAAAAGGGATAAAAAGGAAACTATTTTTTTGATGTAAATGGTTTATAAGTACTTTCGTGCAGTCTCCATATTTCTTTTGTTTGTTATTGCTTTGTCTGACTGCAGTTGTCGTAAGCACGTGATTCTGCTTATTCAGTATTAATCCTGACCTTGGACATGATTCGTCTGGACTATACCTACCCAATCTCGTGTACTCAATTCACTCATACAATGAGTCACGCAGCTCAGCCGTCCTAACCGTTTACGATAGATCACAAAGTCCAGTGCTTGTTGTCCGATATTTAGGTTATCTCATCCACCTTGTAGACAATTAAATTACTTTGTTCAAAACACTGCACCATAATTTTAAAAAATGAAACGACTGATTTCAATGACAAAGTATGAGATAAGATTGACTTTTAAAGGCCACGCTGGCAACTGATGAAGCAACCCATCACGTCTCTCTACTCTGTGCAGAGTTATCGTCCTAGCTAAAGTATCGCAACCTGATTGGTTATTTTGGCAGTTGCCATGATGGCCTTTAGAGTCGTCCTGACATAATGCATGACTGCGTTTCACTCAAAATGTGACTTTAAAGGCCACCTTAGCAACTGCTGAATAAATAATCAGGTTTCCGTATTCCGGCTAGATAGGTAGTTTTTGCAAAATATGGGAGCCTAATTGGTTATCTCAGCAGTCGCTAGGGTAGCCTTCAAAGTCTCCCGTTATTTCGGAAATGCCGGTAAAATACAGAAACGAGTGAGGTATCAATCAAACACTTTTGATTCAAGGGATATGATAATGTTAACATTTAGGTAGATCGAATTTTAAAGTAAGAAACAGTAAAGGCAGCGACAACCAGATTCACACCCAACTTCCCGGTTGATATGGCAAACAGACCAGATTCAAGTTATTATTTAGTATTAGTACTGTGATGTTTCTTTTACGCATTATTTTTGATCTTAAGTTGATAGCGGGTTATTTGACCTGTTTTTGATTCCACTTGGGATTCCATTTCGAACGCAGGTGGTTTCTTTGACCTTGTAGAATTTGCATATATATATATATATATATATATATATATATATATATAACCCCGCCTGGTTGACTGGTACACTAGTTACTAGCCGGTCCTAAGCCCGGGTAGAGAGGGAAGGTTGGGCATAGGGCTAGGAACCCTACCCCGTACAACCAATCTAACTGCTAATGAAACTTCAAAGCACGAACAAAATATAAAAAATAAAAACAATATTATTCCTCGCTGGAATCGGAGAGGCGAAATGACGCCGGTTGGTGAGAGCCTTCAGCAAGCCACTTGGCCGATGTGTCTTCACTCGATGAAATCAAAAGTAAACGTAGGGACGTGGAACGTCCGCACTATGTTTGAACCTAGCAAGGCTGCCCAGATTGCAAAGGAGACAGCATAGCATATAAGCATAGAAGTGCTAGGAATCTGCGAAAGCAGGTGGAATGGAAGTGGACTCTCCAAACTATCAACTGGACAGTCAATAATCTACTCCGATATTGTCACCCAGATGACAACCACGAGCACACTGAGTTATGGAGTGGCTGTCATGATGTCCCCAAGAGCATATATATATATATATATATGTTTTATCATCTTCGGAGTCTGTAACGTTTACAGTTAAAGTTTCTCAACTTTTATGCCATTCGCTTTCTGTCCATCTTTTATTTGCATAATGCTGTGAAGTATAGCAACTTAAACCGATTCACTTTTGTCCCAAGTTATATTTTGATAAGTGCATTGTATCTAATCTTGACTTCTCAAGGTTGATTACTTTTCGCTATGAAATTGGTTGTTAACTTGTATATAGAGGATGTGTTAAGTCACAACTCTGGATTTTTTAAACCCTGTACTTCACACAAATTTCAACATTCATTACTATCATTATCTTTATTGGTAGATATTATAAATCAAATGCTGGTGTAGGGAGTCGAATGAACGGGAAGATTCAGACATTATAGCTCAAACACATATATTGGATATGTTACCGTGCCATTTCTCTTCAGACAAAATATCCTGTAGTTAAACTATCTTCTTTTTCATCGACCCGCATACCCATGTCATTCTCAATCTCTTTACATGTGTTGGATATTTTCACTTTAGCACCTTTGCGTCATGCCAGCAGTGCTTTTTATCACAAAGGTCTCTTGATCTTAAGATATTTAAACACATTGTCGTTTTGTTGTGTGACTAAAGACGATCGTAGATATTTTGACGCGTACGCGTGCACGTATACATACAAGTACACCTTCATGTGTAAATATAACCCAATTTCGACGCAACTACATAAAACCCACGAAAACATCCATTTGTGAATGCGATTTGATTAATACTCCGTTTTCAAAGATTGGTGTATACATTTTTTTGTTGTCGTTTTTCAAATTTAAACTCGTAAAATCACAGTAAATATCCAGACACTTACTAGTTTGTAGTGCAATATGTTTTAAACGCTGTTTCTGTTTCTGCTTGTCGGAAAATCCCTTAAGACAATGGACATACAGACTCACACATTTTATAACTGGAGTGGCGCTCATTCAGAATTATCTACACGTATCTAGAATTAGTGTATTGTCACTTTTTTGAAGTCACCATCTGTTATGTGATAAATGTATACAAGATTCCTAAAGCTTATATTTTCACACAACTCTAAATACTGTCTAACGGTTTGTATTTAGACACATAACAGCACCTTTAACTGAATGTTTCCCGACAGCGTTTTTTTGTTTTTCTATCCACCATAAAATTGTCTCCATGTTTGATTCGATAAATAATAATCTAGATGTGTGCTTACTAAAATGTGATGCAAAAACTTGTAGACAAGTCTTTTTTCTTTCAGGGTGGTACTCATCACTGACTGACGTCAGTTGGATAACCGAACAATTAATAAACTGGGAGCACTGGGTAGCTATTTCTTCCCACTATGGCACTCCTCAGCATTGCGCACCCATGACCCTGCCGGAGATTTTTCCCAGGACCTTCAGGTTTTTCGCCGAGCAGTTTACCATTGAGTCACTGTTTCGGAACCCTAAGGTCACATTTCCCTAATTCTGTCAGCCTGCAAAATACAACGACAACGTTTTTTATTCAATACCATCGTTGTCCTCATTCCCAACCTGGTTGAACCCACCGATAACGACTTCTCACTAGATCGTTGAGAAAACCATCTAGAAGATCGTCACTGATCCACTCATTCAATTTGGGGTTTGTAGTGGTTTGTTTTTCAGGTTAAGATGCATCAGGAATGCCAAGAGACTATAAATTCATAAATGGATGCACAGATTTGTTTGAGAAATCATTTTCGAGTACGCATTGTTAAGGATTAGCTTGCAGGTAAAGTTTCTCTAACAGCGTGTTTGGAAGTATTATTATTGTTATTTCTCCCTTAGGTTCCTAATGGAACATAGGTCTTCCGTAGCACATCTCCAGTGCTCTCTGTTCTCTGCAAACTTTTGAACCTGCCTCCACGACAGCCCACAACCTCTCATTTCTTCCTCACATGATCTCCTACATGTCACCCTCACCTCGAACGCCACTTCATAGCTTCCCATCTGGGTTCCACTCGAGGGCCTGGAGCGTGATGTCCCCACTCGGCCTTATCAGTGTATGCCCAATCCATCTCCACTTCCTTCCAGTGCATATTTCCTGAACGATAGGTTCTTGGTTGGTTCGTTGCCAGCAAGCCAGCCAGAGTTCCTTATTGCTTATTCTTATTATTCTGGCCATCTGAGCTTCAGTAACGAGCCAGCGTAGGCAGTTGTTGATGAATATCTGTAGTTTGTTGGAAATGCCTTTCGTCACGCGCCAAGTCTCTAAGCCATACAGAAGCACTGACTTGACGTTGGTGTTGAAAATCAGGATGTTGTTCACGCTTTATGCTGAGTGGAGTGCAGTAGATCTCCACATTGGTTTCAGGTTAATGAACGAAGGCCTGTCTTGCTTTTCCGATCCTGGCTGGCTTTGATGTCCTCGTCTGTGCCACCGCCGCCTGTAGTTGAAACAGTGCTGCCTAGGTAGGTAGGTGCAAGAGGCTAATTCCTTTAGGTTTCTCCCGTTCATGGTGATTGGTGTCTGTTGTTGTTGTTGTTGGTTGGGTATCTTCATCACCTCCGTCTCCTCTAGGTTCACTTGAAGTCCCATGTTCGCTGCCTGGCCTCTTCTGCCAACTTGTTAGTTTTCGCCTGTAGATCTTCAAGTTTGTGTGACATTGGACATAAGTCATCGGTGGAATCTAAATCTTCTAGGATCTTTTCCCCGGTCCAGCGTATGCCCCTCTTCTCCCTCCTCACTGTTTGTTGCATGATCCAGTCCACTACAATCAGGAATATCATAGGTGATAGTAGGCAGCCTTGTTTTACTCCTGTCTTCAATTCAAAAGCATCACTCAGCTTCCCATTGTGAATTACTTGGCATGTGGCGTCTTCATATAGTTGTTGAATGAGGCTGATAAAGGTTTGTGGTATTCCGTAGTGTTGCAGCGATTGCCAAATTACTTCTCAGTCGATGCTGTCGAAGGTCTTTTCACAGTCGATGAAGTTGAGCTAGAGTTGAGTTGACTGGCATTCTATACTCTTCTATGATGATGCGTAGCGTAGATTGGCAATTTGGTTCGCACATGATTTGTACTTTCTGAAGCCTGCCTGTTCCGGTCGTAGTTTTGAATCCAGCACATCCTTTAGTCTCTCCAGGATGATGCAGCATAATATTTTGCTTGGGGTATAGAGGAGCGTGATTCTGCGCCAGTCCTTGCAAACACTGAAGTCTCCCATCTTCAGAAGCTTAACAAGGTAGCCTTTCGTCCAATCGCCAGGTAACTTTCGTGGCTTCCATACCTTCTGCAATAGTGGTGTGAGCATGTCCGATGCTGTTGTCTCTGCGTCTGCTCTCAGTGCTTCTGACGGGATCCCATCTGGTCCTGCTGCTTTCCCACATTTCAGTAGCTTTATGGCGCTCAGGACTTCCACTTTTGTTGGAGGATTTATGTTCACTTGTAGTTCTGTGGCTGCAGGTGGTATTTCTGGACGAAGTGCAGCTGGTGTTGGTGGTCGATTCAAGAGCTTATTGAAGTGGTCGGCCCATCGTTTCCTTTGTTTCTCTTCTTTGGTAATTAGATTTCCGTCATCGTCTTTTATTGGTTTCGTCTGCGTTGATCTCTTCCCAGATAGTATTTTGGTTATTTGGTATAATGTTATCAGGTCTCTCCTACCAGCAGCCTGTTCTGCTTCAGTTGGTAGTGTGTCGTAGAGGTGTCTTTTGTCTTTCCGCACACTCTTCCTCACTTCTCTGTCCAGTGTAGTGTCTTATAGGATGTGTTCAGTTCCTCTTCTCGTCGTTCATCCTCGCACTGGTTTGTCTTCTGCTTCACCATCCTCCTCTCCCTGATCTATCAGCTTCCATATGTCCTTCCAGATCCATTCCTTATCTTCTTTCTTCTTCCTTCCTTATTACGGCTGTGCAGATTTCTTTCCACATAGCTTTCAAAGACTTCCAGTGCTCATCCACACAGGTTTCTTCAGGGATGTTCCTCGATATCTCCAATTTTGTCTTGATGGCTGACGTGAAGATGTCCTTTGTAGTTTCGTCCTTCAGTTTCCGGGTGTTAAGCTTGAACTGTGGTCGCCTATCACCAACTTCCTTGAAGGTTTTCAACTTGATTTGGAAGGTTCCTTGCACTAGATAGTGGTCCGAACCTACATCTGCTCCCCTTCGTGATGTGACCTTGTGTCAAGTAGGCTGCGTCAAAAACTTTCTTGAGATTGAGATGAAGTCGATCTGATTTTTAGTGTGTCCTAGTGTCTGGTGAAATCGAATCGATGTCGCTTTGTGGATATCCTTGTGCTTGAACACACTGCCTCACTGCAATCACCAAATCGTTGAATGCACAGAATTCTGCAAACAATTCTCCATTCTCGTTCATCACCTCACCGAGCGCTTCTCGTCCCATGGTTTGTTCTCTCCCTATGTTGTCCGCTCCCAGTTTGGCATTCATGTCGCCTATTAGGATTTTGATGTTGCCAACTGGAGTGGGGTCTTGTCCAGTGTTGATTGCAGTTTTCTGTAGAACTCCTCCTTTTTCTCTTGCTCTGCATTATTTGTAGGTGTGTAGCATCGTATGACTGTGGCCTTCTTTCCTTTTGAGCTGAACCTTGCTGTAGTGATCCTGGAGGAGATTGGTTCCCACTGCATGAGAGAGAGCCTTCGATGCTCTTCAAGCGGACATCATGATAGCCACCCTCTCCGTGTGGTTGTCGTGGTTGTCGTCTGGATGACCGGAACAGATTATTGACTGTCCAGTTGATAGTTTGGAGAGTCCACTTCCATTCCACCTGCTTTCGCGAATTCCTAGCACTTCACTGTGATACCTTCTCATATCGTTTGCAATCTTGGCTGCCTTGCTGGGTTCAGACATGGTGCTGACGTTCCACGTCCCTACGTTTACTTTTGATTTCATCGAGTGAAGACACATCGGCCAATTGGCTTGCCGAAGGCTTTCACCAACCGGCGTCATTTCGCCTCTCCGATTCCAGCGAGGAATAATATTGCTTTTATTTTTTATATTTTGTTCGTGCTTTGAAGTTTCATTAGCAGTTAGATTGGTTGTACGGGGTAGGGTTCCTAGCCCTATGCCCAACCTTCCCTCTCTACCCGGGCTTAGGACCGGCTAGTAACTAGTGTACCAGTTAACCAGGCGAGGTTTTGGAAATAGTATACATGAGTTTAATAATTGTAGCGAAGAGATTTTCAATTTTATCTTTCAAATCTTGGTTTTGTGCAGGTATCAAGCGAGCAATAACATTGTTAGTGACGTTTTTTTCTATTCGTCATGTTTATGACAGTGAACCCGAATCTGTTATGTGTTGGAGGTTGGTTAGAGGGTATATTCTTGGTATCTGAGATCCACTGAGCAACATATGATACTCATTTGTAGTTTGGTTGGCTTTCGGCATCTAATATCAAAACACGAGACACCACTGCATCTCATCACTTAGCTTAGTGATTACATTGTTAACTTGATTCATATGCTTCATTCAGTGCAATGCAATAGTGACTAGATAGGTTGATCAGTTACACGTTGGTGGCGTATTAGTGTATTTATTTGCATACTGGAATGGCTATTGTTAAAATATACGATTTTAACAAATTTGTTATGAGGAACGGTTCTCTATTACGTCATATTTTGATTACCAACATATTGTCACAAGTCACGCTTTAATCAGAACTAAATTGATGAAAGATTTTGAAATGCCGTACTGATTGTTATGGCCAGTTGTAAGAGTCACACTTGAGCTGTGGCTAATTGGTTTAGGGAGATAACTTTGAATTCGTGGACCACTGTTTCGATTCCTGCTCCATATACTGAGGTTTGGGCTGCCTGGTAGTATCATTAACTTTCACACTATAGGTGTAGCTCATTGCCTACTGCACGAATTTGTGTTTAAGGCTTTTGGGAGTGCACTTTGAGTGCATTTATTATCACATCTGTGATAGGAAAGTACAGGGATCATCATCATCTTCAGTCACAAACATCCTCCAACCATGAACAGTTAATTTGGTTTTCCCAATTTGTAACCATTTGTCCCCTGTTCTCAATCAATACTTGTTTGTTTTATTACTCTTCACTAATTAGTAAAACTCTTACCACCCATACGTGTTCCCTTTATTCATCAAACTACTTATCCAATCAGATTTTTACTGGCCTAAATAAGTCATCCGGAAAAAAACTAGACGAAGCCATAAAGATTACAATCATTCTGACTACAGGACAAATAGGAAATCCATATGAAATTATCGGATTGTCATATAAAGCAAATACTATGATGGTTCACCAGTTTCTCATAACTCTCAACCAGTGATTTATAGAGTTTCCAATCCCAATCTCTCTGCCTAAGTTTAACACAGTGGACAGCATGATCAGCTGTCACATAATGGGTTTATCCCATCAGCTGTCTGATGTGTACCTGAACCGTATGTAGTTGAATAGCCTTCTTTGTCTTTATATTTTTGAGGAATTCAGATAACCATTCAAAAGTGACAGTAGCGGTAACAATGTTAATTATGACAATGAAATATACAATTATTAACAAAGCACTAATCAGTTCTCTTTTCCTCTATTCAACCTCTTATTATTAGGTTCTCCATACAAGTATGTTTGTATGTGTATAAACATATAATTGTGTGTTTGTGCATGTGTTTATTCATTAACTATCTCATATTTCCAGTAATTGAAAGATTTACAACAGTAAAATATACGCCTACATGTCTACATACCTTAATGCACATACATATAACAGACCTGTACGTATACATATATGTCTTTATGTAAACTTCTTATGTCTCTATTTTCATCGATTTCAGCTGGTCACATTATATTGTCCTGTTTGACCATCATCATCATCGTCATTTTCATCGTCTTCTTCCTAGTTATCTAACAATATCGGTCATCAGACTATTTTCTGGATTCAGCAGCATGTTGTTATTAAGCCTTATTGACGTTTCGATCTGGCATCATCGGAAAGTTTTGTGGGAAAGAGTCACAGGCTAATCAATTGTATATAAGTAGCATGTTTGAAGCAGCCTAATTTTCTGTTCGTTGGAAAGCATCCCTTAGTCATGTTAGAATGAAAAGCGCATATTTTTCATTAAAATTCCATGAATATTGTCGATAATACTTTCTCACTCTGCCTTACCTAAAACAATTTCAGTACAGAAGTGAAAACTTCTTTTTGTAGAATGATCATATTGACCAGTTCAACAACCCGCGTTAACTGAAGAGAATGAACAACTGAAATGAATACTTCATCATACGTGAAGTACTTTCGGAAAACGGAGAGTGTATGACTTATGTGTAGAATGTGGGGAACGTGTCAAATGTGGTCATGAAACAGTGATCGTCAGGAACTGTAACATTGTACTCAGACTTCAGCGAGTTTGTTCGAGTCACAAAATTGTTTGTTAAATGAGAGTAAAATCTTGATAGTTTTGTCCAATGAGACGATGAGATAGATGAATAGACAGAAATAATATAAAACATTTTAAAAGTGTGTATCAGTCCAACGTGCTATACTTCACTCAAATACAGTGAAATACTCTAGCATTAAGACTTTAAACTCGATCAGGGACCGTAGCCTTCCGTTAATTGGTGCTATATTGGTCCGATTATCACAAGTGCTCCATCTCGTTCAGAGTAGTGCATCAATGTAGACGGCGATTAGGCTTGTATAATATCCTTGCTAACAGCATCAGTCTTTGAAGACTCACGGTACCCCGATTTTTTTATATAGCCGAAATAAGGTTGGGTGGAAAGTTGCTGCTCCTACAAACATTGATTCGAGTCGATTGAAACTCGAATAAGCCATTTAATCAATGCACAACTCTTATATGCAATGCATGTCTTACGTTTTCGTACTGACTAAATCAATCTTGCGTATAACATGGAGGAAGTTGAAAGTATTTTCTAGACATATAGGATATCAGTTGTAAATATACAAGGTAAACTGGTCAATGTCATTATCTCTGTTTAATCCCCCTTCAAGTCCATCATCATGTGGTCATTTTTGTTTGCTTCCACAAAACAAAGAATAACACGCACATCCTGTATCTCACTTTCCCTCTGTGTATAATAAATGAATGGTTCAGTAATAGTCAGTTCTGCTACTTTATCACTGAATACCATAGGTTCAAACATCACAAGTTATGACGCATTTCTTAGTGTTCAGCCTGCACTAGGTTGGTGTTTCAGATGAATAAATATTCAAATTTTACCAGATTGTACTAGTGAACAACATGAGTTTTGAAACTAATCAGTCTGGCCCACATTTTATGCTTGCCAAATCATGGTGGTATAAAAGCGTAAAAGATGGTTACACTGGTTTGAGGTCAATTTCATTAGCCATTCTCTTGGAAATATTGATTATGCAAAGCCTAATTGCTCAAGTCAATTGATGAATCTGGCTAACCGGGTAGTTCGAGGGGATTTACAATAGCGTGTAATATAGTCATCATTCTTTATTATTTAAATTCGCAGTGTATGTTTTCAAAAAAATACACATAAAGTACCGAAAACATTTTGTATTCCAAGTATATGACTGAATATAGAGTTAATTAGTGGCTGAATCACTCAGGTGCCTTAGCATAGGGTTTTAGTAGGATTCAGAGGTGATGAAATTAACATTCTTCTTGTTGATACCATTCATGTTATGAATGCAAAAATTTGGTTATCATACCAGACATGAGTTAATGTAGACCGTAGAATGCTAAAGGCTTTTACTTTCCTCCGCAGACGTCATACTAGTTCGACTGCTCAGAGTCGTTAGTTACTTCGGGAACCTCTTTGATCAGCTAGTGTCCCATCCACATTACTTTTTTGTCTTATATGATAATCAATGTCACTTCATATTCTATTTCTAACTGTTTAATAGATCGTATATATCTCGTTTGTTGTTTACCGATTGCAATATGAGTTTAGTTTACACATAATTTTAAGGTGTCTAAACTCAGTGAGATTCATAACTACTGATATACAGATGTAATAGTGTCGATACCAGAAATAAAATATCTTAGGGTTTGTCAGGTATTCTAACAGTAACATAGCTTCAACTTTGAGTATATAAGAGTAAGTTCTCTTTCAGTGTAGATCACCATTTGATTCTTATTCACCTTATGTCAATTTTCCAGTGGAGTTCAGAAAAATGATTCCAAGTATCTCTTCTGAAAAATTTATGTACCGTCATCATTTTTGTGGGGCTTTCAGTATTATTTGGAGCCAGCTGTACACCGACCCGTATTATTCACAGTTTTTTGAGCAGCAAAGTACAAATTTTTATCACATCTTTAAACAAGTAGGAGTAAGCATAAATCAGAAACTATCGATCTGTCCACCGTGCTCGGCTGTAAGTTACACCCAGGTGCTCTCCAACTAGTAGTGGTGATATATTGTCTGACTGCCCAGACCAACATAAAATGATAGTGTAAATGTGTTGTAACCCATTAGTTGATAAACATCTTCCTACAATACCAACTGTTTTCTTTCGATTAGTCACAGAGATACCACCTAATTCTATTTCTTATTTCTGCATGTTCAACAATTACTTTCATCACCTCATTTCCTGATCTTTTCAAGTAGATCTGATGGCTATGTAGTGATGTAAACAACAAAAAAAATGATAAGTATATCTTATTTTTTAGATACGTTACATCGGTAGAGTGTATTTTCACTGAGCAAAACCAAAACTGACTTCAACAACAAACACTCTTGGCTTTCTCTGTCTTCTTATTTTCTCTTCAATAGTTTTACTGTACTTGTTTTCAAATACTTGAGAGTTGTCAGTACATATGCACAAGATTCCTATTATACGAAGAATTGATTAGTTGTTGACCAGTGGCTCTGTTTGTGCAGATAGTATTAGTATGTTATACATCATCTATCATTTTCGCGTACTTTTTGTCATCATTCCAGTAGAGAATTATGTTTCTAATTTATCGGAATAATTCGCTTTTATTGTCACGAGTTAATTCCTGTCTAAAAGAAGCTGGATTTTTCGACTGTATTATAACCAATAGTCTCTTGTGAGAATATTCGTCACTTGAGTCACCATACTGGGTGTATGATAGAGAAATATAGTTGGTTGAGACGATAAATGAGACAAACTTTTGTTTGTTCGAATGTGTTTATGTGGCATATTGCATACGAAACTCGATATTTAACCAGTAGTACACGCATGCTCCGCTAACTAAATTTGTGCAAATGGGGTAGAAGCTTCAACCTTAGTGCAACAGAGAATATCTCATATCCTAATGGAAAACATGCACGGGATTGCTACGTTGAAGTACATTCCATTGCACTCGTTTAAACCTCGTTACCACACAAATTCTCTTTTACTTCTAATCATTATTTCGCTGGAACAATTGAATGCTTCATCGGAAATTATTATACTTCAAGTATTGCAACACCTTTTACTACCTCCCTAAATCTATGAAGTATCATAAACAACTTGGTAGACTGCGTTGAGAACATATTAAAGCTTTGTGTATATTAAAACGAGAATGTATTACATAGCATTTTGATCTATCGTGAGACTCTTCAGCAACTAAACGATAAAGTACTCTATGGGCTCTGAGCACTATATTATACAAATTTACAACTTGGTGGTTCTGAGGGTTTTCAGACTAGATGTAGTGTCCATCTTTATGATTCCGATGCTCTGGTTTTTAGTACGTTTTTTTTAAACTGACTTCAGTTGCTAGTGTGAACTGTTTTTAAATTAAATGATTTAATATATAGCACATTCAAATGGATGAGATTTCTCATCTTTTTAAGCGCACAACCTATTGTTATTGAAATGGTTTTAAAATTCATTAAAAACCTTTTTGAAGTAGTTTTCATTCAGTAAACTATTGTATCGTTAGTGTCAATGGATAAACTTCGATAAATTATCATGCACAACACACTTTTCTGCTGTTTTGTTACAAAAAATATCTCAGTGGTTTAAAAAATATGTAAGTTTTTCAGTCATCCGATAACCATTGTTTTTGAAAATGTTCGCTTTTAAAATTAATAAAGCTAAATATTTAATAACTAATTAGAAGTTTATTGCATAAATCGACTAAGCTGACGTACAATTTCACTATAAAGCATATATGTTACCGTTAATCCTGTAGAAAATTTCAAACTCTTGAGAAGTGGAGTCGTCATGTCTTGCTTCAGGCAATGAAGTGTTTACTCCATGGGCTTCGTATGGCTATTTTACCAGTGTTTTGCCTTCAAAAATCTCAGTTTGAAGTGATATGACACAGCTTGTATCTATTATCAGGGTATCTAACTGATGTCTCGTTCACTGGTGTAGCCCATCACTTTTCATCTAGTTAATATATTTCGATCACATCACTTGAGTAACTTAGCTAATCATCATAGTGAATGACGTTTAAGTTTCAATGTTTAAACCTATGTAGGGTTGTCGGTTTTCAGAATTATTTGTTATTTGACCACCTTAGTTACTTTGGGATTTGTTGGTTAAATCTAAATAAATTTATTAAATTAAATTTGCAAAACAGCAACTACCTACTTGGCTGAGTTAGCAATCAGTGACTCGCTTTATATCATGGTTTAGCTTTTTGTAGTTTCTTTCCAGCATAATCTTACTGTAACGTCAAAAACAGAGAAGGGAATCCCTTGGCATGTGTATCACATGTCTCAACTATTGAAAGAAGCAAAAAACAGGCATGCAGGAAGGAATGTTTATTGTCAACCAGCGGGACAGTAGTCGTTAAATGTGGTGCACCTTGCACTAAAACCGTCATTTGCAAAATATGCTTCATTCCCTCTTCTGCTTCCTTCTTGATTTGCTCTTCATACACCTGCCTTGTCTCTTACGTTCCTCTTGGCGGAATCCTTACTGCTGGTAATCCCCTATGATTTCTGCCGCCCTCTCAACATATACTACTTATATCAATTCTTACCAGCAACGCCCATTACACTATCTTTATCAGTTCATCTTCATTTTGTCTGTTACTTCACCTTCTTTGTATACTGCAACCAAATGTCAGCATTATTAACTGGGTGTATTATATATATATATATATATATATATATATATATATATATATATATATCCCGTTAGTTCCTCTTTAGTCGTCAGGCGTAGGAATTCGTTATTTTACTGTACACTGTCAAATTCTAGGGTCATCCTGCTCTGTATTCTGAAATTGTTTCGAAAAAAACTTTTTTCCTAGGAAATAGGCATTCACTGTATTCTAGTTCTCAGAGGGAACATGATCGTTTTTTTATGTAGAGGGATGTAATTTTTCCAATTGACTAAGTAACATGAAACTATGATGTATTGTGGGTTACTATTAGAAGGCTTTAAACTAATGATTCATATTTTCATCCCTTGCAAAACACATTTTCTGCTAAGTCATATTTCACCTAGCCTTTAAACGCATTTCACATTCTTCAGTAAACATTTTAAAAGCTTATCTGTATATTTAATTTGAACATGTTACCGTAAAAAGTAACAGAAATTAGACTAACTCAACTGAAATAATGGAAGACATTGAACAGTTAGGTGTCTAGTTTTTTTTTGAGGTATTATTGTTTTTCTTTTACATTACTAGATTAATCACTTTGGATCTACAGTCAACTGATGCATTTATTCTAGATCACATTGTTAGAAAAACGGTAGACTAAACGCTCATGCAATTCTCCAAGTGGCCAGTCACCCTCACTAAACTTATGAATACTGTTGTGATTTTTGACGTATTTTAGTTTTGGTTTCTGTCAAGCATTACCGGATTTTGAGTACATTTTATGAATAAGTCTGAAGTAGAACAAAAATGCTTCGTTATTTAACACTATCAAATTAAAATTACTTTTATATTAGTAAAACAAGAGTCTTATATATGTGACTTAAACGTTGTCCTCATTCATAAGCTTATTGTTATGACTATTCATCTGCACATGAATAAGTTACTGCGACCTCAATAACAGTATCATTACTCCCAGTGTATATTACATCACCTAAGTCACTCATTATTGTCATCTTGATCATGTCATTACTGCTGTATATTACAAGTTATATACATATGTTGGTCTGTTTTTTCTCTCCTCCTGTTTATCTGTCATCCAACATGACGCATTTTCACTTATTATTGCTATTTTTAAAATTTATTTTATATATGCTTCTTCATCATCATTACTATCTTCATCGAAAACAAAACTATCAGTATTTTGCTTCTTTTATTTTTATCATCCATTCAATCCAATTGTCTGTATGATGCATTGAAATGTTTGTGGATACTAATCGTCTGTTTATTGGTCGGCGATGTTGTGGTCCGGTTGGTTCGCTTATTCACGACTGCTGGATATACTTCTTGTATGGGTATTGCGTCACTGCTTGCATGTTCGTTTGTGCTTTTGATTGGTTGTGTGTTTGCATGATCACCACTCAGGTACAACGGAACGTGTCTGTCTTATAATTGGATCGTTCAATGGTATTATCACTGTGCATAATTATGTTATGGATCGAATCATGGAAAAGCCAGATCCCAATCCGCATACAACTGGAGAAGGTAGACTCAATGTAGAACGTCATAAACAGGTAGGATTTTGTTTGTTGTCATTTATTTGCCGGTTTCCTCCTGACTCATTTTTCATCTCATTCTTTTCATATCGTTTCAGCATAAATCATCCATCTTATTTCACATAGTATTTGATTTGTAGGTAATATCACACTTGTAAAGTAGTTGTAGATAATTTTTACTGCCTCTTTCTTGACGTCCCTTACTGCAGCACTAGATGGTGCGAGTTCGAATCTTCTATTGAACAACAGTTCACATGACGTTGCATGTACACTTTACTAATCAGTGCCAACAAGCATAAAACCCGTTGCTATTGGTCATTTTCCTTCAACTAATGAAAATCAAATAATATGCCTTGCAGTATCGAATAATTTAACCAAGTGACCAGATTGGCAGACCTGTCTTATATATTTTGGTCAAAACTCAGTACTAGACAGCATGGTATGGAAAAATCATAGGAACCAATTGATGTATTTATAATTAACATTATTGTTGCTTCCAGGTCAAAATTCTTGTACCGAACAGTACAGCTGGTATGGTTATCGGTAAAGGCGGGTCATACATTCAAGAAATTAAGGAAAAAACAGGAGCTTATGTACAAATTTCACAGAAATCACGTGAATTCAACCTTTTAGAGCGATGTATCGTCATTGCCGGTAGGTTTCTATTATGCTTCCTTCTACTGTGTTACATTTTTACATAATGGTATAGTTTTTACTGAATTAACATCGTTATGTTCCCCCGAACAACTCACTCGCAAGTCGTTTGAAGTCAGAAGATTGTCTCTATATTGATTTCACGTACTAAATAAAGGTGGATGTGCTTAGTAATGATTAGTCAAAGTTACAACAGTTTACACAAGGTATATGTAACCGGCAAAGAGTAAAAAACGAATTCATTACGTTTGAATGCCAACTTATTCCTTAAGCCAATAAAATAACTCCAAACAGAATCAATAAAAGAAGGATTTGGAAATTAGACGAAAAAAGTCAGTCATAAGTTTTATAGTGAAATAACATAGATAGCGTATTATGGTGGATTAATGATACTCTTCAGTCAAGTTCAATATTTGTATAGTGTCTATGATCAGTAATAACTTACAAGGTACTTGTTCAACGTTAACATTTTTTGCTACTGATTACTTTTCCAAATGCCGGCAGATGTTTTGAAATATTTCATACTAAATGTTTACGCCAGCTTGGCACAACATAATGGAGAAATTCAGGCCTGCTAATTTTCATCACTTCTAGCGACTGTGAGATGTCCTACGCTGATTTAGGGGTGGTGGTTAGATTGCAAAGTGGTGTGTTTCGTCCTACTGTGCATTTGTGAAACATGATTTTAGAAAATATACATTTTGTTCTCTTTATGAATTTGTGGTGAGCTGGAGAAACCAAATTTAGGATTTAAAATGTGTGCACAGTCTGCAGACATCTTAAGTCACACACATTGTTAGTGTATACCATAACTACTCAGAAAAATGTAAATCTCTTGATGAGGTTTTGAACACTTATCAGCCTACAAGATTCCTTTGAATGTCGATCATACGACAAGCATGATATATGACCAAAGCAAAATTCACCGAATTCATAGGTCTTAATAGGACTTGTATGCCGAATATTCTACATAGTAAATTTCTCGTACAATGGAAAATGTATTTAAAACCACGTGACTTCATATTTCCCACCATTGTTTCCTACCATTCTGTAAACCTTGATCAGGAAGTCCACAATAACTTCTGTAATTCTGACAGTAATTTATAACCCCTCTTTTATATTTATTTTTATTATCCATCAGTAAGGTATAAGAATACTGACTGTCCTCCTCCCTTTGTAGAAAATATTATTTACACGTCCCCCTTTTTCTTTGCATGTAGCTATGAAATATGATAGCTTGAAGTGATGCACTTCTATCCTATAGTATTTATGTGGATCAGTTGCTAATTTTGGAGCTAGTTTAAATTATTAGTGTCAATATCATTATTATTCGATCAAAAACTTGATACAACAATGGCATTAAGAAATAAACAATACAAATTAAGTAAGCAGCATTATGAAGATAGGAAACGAAAACAAAAGTGGGTTATTTAAGTAGCAGTTTCAAAGATATATTAAAAGAGGTGTTCACGACCTTCTTTTTGCTATCCAGTAACAGAAGGAACCAGAAAACCGCAGCATGACTACCACTGGTTTCGATTCTGAGACATGTCTCCTGTTGTTCCACAAACCTCACCCATTGAGTTGTGCGGCTTCAACAGCTGCTATCTCAACACAACTATTCTTCATCCTGCGGAGCCACATCATACACTTTCCACCTAGTCTTTATTTCCAGCCATCTCCAAGTAAAGCGAACAGTGAGTAACGTGTAAGCCCCTAGGACGATATGCGCTGAACACTTCCGAACAACCTAAGTCGCTGCTTCCAGACGACCACATTCCACGATGTCCATCACACCCAAGTATACACTCTCACTTCAGTTTTGTTTATATAGTGTTTCCACTGCATGTGAGCAATTTTGTGGAAACAGCGGTGATCGAAAACTCATTCTTCTTACTTACTCAGCACATAAAGACCAGTTTTCACTAGCGTAAAGCATAGCTGTCTGCACCGATGCGTTTCTTTTCGACGTTTTACGATGGTCCCAGAAGTGACGGAGATTAGAATATGCTGTTCTGGCTATTACTATTGGATTGGAGATCTCATCAGTCACACATCCACTGTCACTAACTAAACTACCCAGTTACAGAGACTTTTCGACAACTTCCGATAGTTCACCATCAAAGGTGAGTGCAGGTACAGGTTTCTGCCAATGTATTAGAAACCCTTTGCGCTTCAATAGTGCGAATCACATGCATGCTACACTTAAGAACACTGATCAGCTGACTGAGTACGGTCTGAGTAGCCTATATTTTGTCGCACAGTAAAACAACATCGTCCGCATACTCTAGGTCAAAAAATTTCTGACGTGGTAACAGGTCTACACCGTCATCATACAACTCCTTCTTAGTTGTCTTTAGAATGTCATCGGGACGAAATTAAAGAGGAATAATGAAATTGGACAGCCCTGTCTAACCCTACTGTTGTTTTGACACATCGGACCAATTTGGCCGTACACCTTTGTACCTAAGTTGTTGAAGTACAAGGTGTTCACGATATTGATAAACTTCTCGGGGACACCCTCCTTTAACAGACAGTTCCAACAAATTTAAGGTAGTACTAATTATTGACGAATACAAAGATCATCAGCCTTACTGCGTTAACCAATTGACTTGCCTGAAAGGTCGGATGAACTCTGATGCTTCAATGACTGAAAAAATCTCTTCACGAATTCAAAGGCTCTATTGGCTTTTATCAACTTACGCCATCTATGGTTCTGCTGTGATATCCGATTGACTATTCAGGGGCGTGTGTACTGCCCTGCAGTTCTCTTTTCGTAAGCCTAGTATGCGCAACGTTAATACTTCCAAATAAGTTCTAGTATGAATATGAAGAATGCGTATAGATATGACCTATGTTCCACCAGTGTTATCCCAACCGACAGACGCCAACAAGATACGCGGGAGGTAAAGCAAAAGACGTGTGGTAGAGGATTTAAAAAGATGCAAATAATTGTTTTGTTCTATATCCAGTACATATAAATAAAATTAGTTTCAATATTCATATAATACTGGTACATAGGGTATTTGCAGAGATGTTTGAATAAAGTTAAATGGGCTAGACAATACTCTCTGTCCTACTATTTGGATGAGAAAAGTGGCCATTGATGGTAGAGAATATGAGAAGGCTCAGGTATTTGAGTAGCATTGCTTTCGTAGCATAAGCGGTCTATTGTGATTTCGCCGCGTCGGTAATGTAAAAGTCTAATTTCTAAGCAGCACTCATCATGGCTAGATAAGGGACAAATTAGAACAGTAAAGAGCTCCATAAGTGCGCATTTAGTTGACACTGGACATCAAGTGGAATTTGTTCAACTGCTTGCGTAACCGTGACCGTCAACAAAATGTAACTCCTAGTATTATTGAGTTTTGAGGGAGTTGTGGGGATTTGGAAATATTTCAAGTTGTTATTCATCGTAGACTGACATCAGTTGGAGGAACAAAGTGAACCTGGGAGCACGACCACGGAACCTGAAGGTCGCGGGTTCGATCCCTGGCGGGGCCATGGGTGCCCACTGCTGGGGAAGTCCCACACTAGGACGAGACAGCTGTCTAGTGCTCCCAGGTTTCCTCTGTTCCTCCAACTGATGTCAGTCTACGATGAATAACAACTTGAAATATTTCCAAATCCCCACAACTCCCTCAAAATTCAATTGAACTGGTGCTCATTGGTGACCAGCTTCGAGAGGTATTCCCGAAGTTCCAATGAGAAGTCGTGACTGGTGGGGGAAAAGCCTGATGGCCGTGAGGACAGTTACTCAACGATGGCATTGGATGGCTGCTGATCTATATCGTGAGCTAACAGAAGTTGGAAATATGGAGCATTGGATTGTGACCCAGTGGCTTAATGGTAACATGCTGGTCACGGAACCTGAGGGTAGCGGGTCCGATCCCTGGTGGGGTTGTGGGTGCGCACTACTGAGGAGTCCCATACTAGGACGAGACAGCTGTCCAGTGCTCCCAGGCTCCCTTTGTTCCTCCATTTGATCCTAGTATTATTACCTTGTACTCCTCCTCTACCCATTTTGCTCATCAATATTCATTTGCTTTCTTATGCTCACATAATTTAGTTTGAGGTTTATTATTTATTTATTGTTTGCAACCGATCACTAGGGGAAAAATGGACAAACCACTCCACTTGCTTCACTAGTTACTAAAGAATAACCTGTTCCACATTATCATAATTACTATTTTTAAACCCTTATAGTTAGTCTTTTGATTATTTGCATCTCTATTTCTCGAGCTTATCATCTTCATAACGCACTTAAAATCCATAATTATTATTAGTTAAACCTCTACCCCTTCACTACCATTTTGGTATGAATTGTGCACCTATATATTAGTTGAAATGCACTCAGCAACTTTGGACACACACATTTGTACAGCAGATAATGGGCCAAACCTATTATGTGTGGGGGCTAGTGATACTACCTAATTGGCCGGACTTCAGTAGGTGGGGCGGGACTCGAACCACTGTTGAGAGAAGGACAAAGACCTAATTGGAAAGGAATATATTTCTTCGTTCAACCAGTTTTTTCTTCTTAATGGGAATTTCCAATTGGATTAAGCCAACTATGAATAGTAAAATATTAAAATAAACCACAAAAGACAGGTAAAAAGATGGGCAGTGGATGGATATATGATAAATAATAAGTGAGATGCTTAGAATTGCGGCGAAATAAATAGTAGATGTATCTGTGTCCTTGGAATAGGTTTTGAGTGCAATCACTGTTGTTGAGCTGTTCAGTGATTTGTGTTCTTATTACACACACTTCACTTACCTGGGAAGTAGGATCAGCCCAGCCGTGATGGCTCAGTGGCCGGCGAAATCTGTGCACAGATACAAAAGGCTCGATTGGCTTTCACCAACTTACGCCACCTGTGGCGCCAACATGATATCCGATTGTCTACTAAGGGTCGCGTATACTGCACAGCAGTCCGGTCTGTTCCACTGTATGGCTGTGAAACATGGTCATTGAAGGTGGAAGACATGAGAAGGCTGGCTTCAGGTGTTTGACCACCATTGCCTTCGTAGTATAGGCCGTATTCCGTGGTGTCACCAGGTGAGTAACGCAGGAGTCAGGAGTAGAGTTTTAGGGAGAAGAGGTAAGTTGGTTGACGAGGTTGTGAACCTTCATCGACTGAGATGGTTGGAACACGTGTTACGTATGCCTAGTCGCCGATTGCTTCGTCATACAATGTTGGCTGAAGCAGGTCCAGGCTGGAAAAAGGCTCGAGGTGGCAAGACTAAAACATGGTATCAATGTATGCAGGTCTTTGACTCTTGGTTTGAGCCATTTGGGGCGATGTAGACTGGTCGGTTGGGGTCCGTAGGACAAGAGGAACCAGTGGTTGGGGACTCTAGGTGATATGGCTCTGGACTGATGTCAGTGGCACAGATGTATACACACATTATCCTCATCTTAACGCTATACCGATCTCACCATTTTCTCACTCTTCATTTCTGTCTTTTCGTACTCTATATTTCTTTCGACTGAATTTTCTTTTCATCTTCTAGTTCACTTCCTTTTTACTTGAAGTACTGAGATGAGGTGTGGCAACTCGGACCGTTACACAGTGATGCTTGGCTGGTCCTAGGTGGATCTGGATAAATGATGACGCATGTCTTATAATAATAAAGTTGCTTTTCTTCACATGGTCGGTTGGTGTTATATCTGTATTTCATACCGCGAAACTTCATTGACTTTATGGGTAGGCTTTTGTCGAAATGCTTATATCAAATCCTCATTTACCTAATAGTCAGATTATATAATTTGAAGTAGCTAGTCCCTTTTATGAATTTCGATAGCGTAATTACAAGACGAGGTGTATCTGAACAGTGTGATGTATTTACGCAATACATTCCGAAATGTATTGCGCAAATAGATCACATTGTTCAGATAAACCTCTTTTAATTAAGATATCAAGATTATATTATTGTCTGATGCAGTTTTATGCCATCCACTAGTGTTTTTACAGGTTATCTTAGTCATCAGTGGAAATATCTTATTGTAAAATAACTGTGGCGGATAATATTTAAAAAGTGTGAATTGAGTTCCTCCGTAAATTGAACTTTTAGTCTGTGGATGTTTCGAAGTTAAGCTGAGAGTTGTGTCAGTCCTTAATGCTATTACTTCTTTGAAATACAGCTGGACTTATATGTTGAAGCAATAAGTTTCCTCATTTGTTTTTAAAATTCATGTTTAATGACCTTCATAGGTGAGTTAGATCAAACAAGAGCAGCTGTTCATCTTATTCTGGGTGTCATTGCTGCAGATCCACAGTCAGCTAGTTGTCCAAATCTTTCGTACCATGATATTCAAGGACCAGTGGCCAGTGTTTATCCAACTGGTTCACCATATGCAATTCCAATCATTCCTTACTTATCGAATCCTGTCGCCTTACCTACTTCTGTGGATGCAAACTCTGCGGCAGCGGCTGCAGCGACTATGATGGCTGCAGCTGCAGCTTTTAGACCTGGCCCATCTTCACAGACTGGAAATGCATATATTTCTTCTCAAGAGACTGCATTTGGGTTCTTCCCACCTAACTTTCCACTAACGCCAGATGTAACAACTCTTGCAGCTTTAGTGTCAAATCAAACAGCTGGATCGATTATTTTGCCTTCTATGCTTCCCAGTATCGTCAATGGTAGGACTTCTGGCAGTAGTACATCTGGAGATTTGTTTTCACAAACTGGTAATGCACCATGGTCTAATGTTCCTGGTCAGACTGGATTCGATGCGACAGTACCGGATCCAAATGCAACAGGATTGGGAGTATCAGTTGCACAGCACGCTTTAACTGGTTCGTTCGTCTGTAAACCACAAGACTCTCAGCCAAATCGTTCAGCAGTATCACCTCCAGTTTTCTTTCCTCCGTCTTCATTTATCCCAGGTATAGCAAAACAGTTTTCAATGTTATCAAACAAGGTTTGGTGTTTGCTTAAAATGTCGAATTTCTGAACTTTGATTCAAGTATTATTCTTAGATTTATTCAATAAAGTTTATTAAATTAAAATTCACATAGCTCACTAATTTTATGTAACGTTACAGTTTACCTTTCGTAGGTGAATAGAATTATCCACTCAGTCAGTATGTGTATATTTGCTTCATCCACGTGTGTACTACCATTTAAGGAAGTTTATGGATAGTTAATTACACATTTGCATAAGCAAGATAAAATTTCCGAAGTACTGTATCAATGAAAAGAATAAGTACCTAAAATTAAACTGTGACAATCCTTACCGAAAGCATGTATGCTTGAATCGGTGGACTTTGTAGTGTTGTGCATTTGTGTGTTCCAAAACTCCAAGAAAATGCATACCAGATAATCGATGCATTATACGAGCTATTTAAAACATTCCGCAATAAGCATGTATCCGTTCATTTTACGAAACACTTTAAGTCAAAGCTCATAAAATGTCTAAAATCGGCTGAGTATAGATCATAATTTCTGTAGGAGGTGAAATGGGAATTTAAAATGCAAATCTAGACTGTGTTTTCCGGCAGAAAATCGACAAACTGTAAGAAGAAAAAGCCAGTTGTCTAATCTCGTGACTCAGATTACAGGTTGATGTCTTTCCCAAGGGTCTTGAGCGGTTGACATTATTACGTCACTGCTTGATCTTGCCACCCATTGCTCTTGTCGACAGAACACAGAAAAACAGTTGGAGTGTTTCTGCAAGAATAAAGCCATACTCTTGATCTGACTCGGAAAGGTGCATGAATCGTCTTTCTAATTTGTTCTAACTTTATTGAATAACTATCTGTTATGCTATCTGTTGAGGCGAAAATGTTCAAACTCCCCAACTACAGAGGGATGTAGCCAAGAAAAGCAGAACAAAGTTTCGTAATAATCTTGCAGAAAATTAAAGGTTAATCAGTCTTTACTGTAGACCAATATCAAAAAAAGTAACTCAGCTACCCCCGATGTGTATTGATTGCCTAAACTATGGAAAAAAAAGTTTCCCGTTAACCGATTGTAGATGTGACTGGATTTTCGATTGAATTGAACCATTGGAAAATTTTCCATACTACATCTGTTTGTTTTAAGTGTTCCCCCCATCTGTTTTTCGTGAGAACATCAAATCTAAAAACCTGGACATAACTATACTTGTTAATTTCTGAAAGGAACCATTTCTTATATTCAATGGACATTTTATCGCACAGAAGAATAACAAGACGATAAAACTTGCTCTTTATCCGCTTTCTCGTAGTCGTTTAATTACGTTTCTTGGAAATCTATGCGATTAGTTGCTGCCTCTTTTTGTGGTTCCACTTAGCTATACTAGTTGGAGCACCTTTTTGAAGTTGCTATTATGCCATAATGGTTAACTAGAGAACGATTAAGCCAAAAATAGGTAAATTTATTTCATGATTTCACCAACAAAATATTACAAACTAATCAGGTTTGAGGGTGAGGTGTGGCAGTAGTTTTTACTCGACCGCAACTACCGTATACTTTTTTCCCGTTATTTAAAAGAGACGATTAACAACGTTTGTCCATAAAAGTGGCATATTTTTTAACGCTTAATGAAAAGCTATCTAGAACAGCAATATGATTTATCTCAAGCAATTATTCCTCAGGCTCTGTGATCATTCTTTCGTGTGAATATGATCATCCAAAGTAATTGCATTCCTGTTTAAGTTACCTCAAGGATGAGTAGTGTTCTACGGTATTCTTAACCGAGAAGCGTTAACCGCCCATGTACTTCTGTCAACATCTCAGTATACTATCTTCAACATATTAATCAATCAACTTCGATTTTACCAAGCGTGTATGGATGGTTTTTTTCATCTGAGATGAGGAATCTGATCTAGTGAGAATTCTCAACACCAACATTTTCCTACCTGTCCCTAACACTTACACTGAAGAGCAAAATCTAATTTGATGATTGCATTCCTGGATACGCCCCTGACAAAGACACCTGATAAAACGGCATACACTGTTTAGTAAAATGAGTAGGAACTAAACAATGGGAGCATAACTTTCAGTCAGCTGAAGTGTACCAGAAAAAAAGGATGTTTAATGCCCTAGACTGTTTTAGATTGTAGACAGTTGATGAGAATTCCTGGAGTGAAATAAATCCTCGCTTTTTCACATTTTACTGGCTAGCAAAAGTTACTTCCAATCATTGGTTGGTCACTGGACAGCAAAAAATTCGTGTTGGCAAGTCCTGAGTGTTGATCGAATCCCATCTATCATTTCGGAATATGGCTACCAAGCGATACACTTTGGTGAATATTGGTTGGTCAGAGGCAATAACCAGGAACCCTTGGACTGGTGGAATCGACAATCAATCTCGTGAATGCTTCAGCTCAATTTGCTACTTTGTACGTCAAAAAAAATAGGTGGTTGGAAAAGTAGTGGTCCTGCAGTAAATAAAAGTGTCTGAAAGGGAGGAGAATAAATGAATAAAAGTTAGTAAGATGTTTGAAATTGAACGGAGGATACTGTTTATATGTATCTCTCTCTGCAAATGCAACCGATTTCGAGTTATTACACCAAGTATCTGCAACCACTGTTTTCAACAATCTCGGGAACCCCAAGCAGACGGAACTCAGATCAGCAACCATAAAGGCCTCTTGGATTTCTTTCATTCTTAATTAGGCTACGTTTAGCTTTCTTCCAATATAACCCTACTTCATGTAACATTGCTTATCGAGGTGTGCAGTGCTTCAGCATTCGCAATTAATTTCTATGTTGCCTCATTCAGTGAATGTTCACAGTCGTATCGGCTGATGTACCTTCTTTGCTCGACACTGTGCAACTAACGTTAGTATTATTCACATTTGGAATTTCTAAGACACTCAGATTTTTGTTCAGTGTGATCAAAAGAACTGCGTTTTGTCACTTTTTGCAATAGGATAATATCGTCTTTAAATCCTAAGTCTGCCACTTGTTTTTCATGTAGTAAGTCGAACCTTGCAAAGTCAGCAGTAAATCGTGTCACCGGTATCAATGCCTTTGTAATAATGTTCGATAAAATGGTGTTAGGGGGCATTCCTAGCACGCCAAACTATTTGTCATCATCCCAGATAAAAATCCTCTGTAGTCCCATACAAGGGTGTCTGAGTTCTAGCGGAGAGCCTTGTACACTTATCATGTTCAAGGATTCGAGAAATAAGTTCTTAAGTTACAATTAAGATTTAGAAAACGCATTTTCAGTTATTTTTATCGCCCCAGTAATATGTGAAATACGATGAAAGTAGCGGCCACAAAATATCCTAAAGAATCTAGTGTTCAAGAACGAAATCTCAGCAGGCATCATTTGAGGAAGAAATTGTCCATAACTAAACTAAGAATCTCATTCACTTGAAGATAACTGATTCCGGTTCGTGTTGCACAAACCGGTTTATTTGTTTCGGTCGAGTTATATACACTGGTTTCACGAATCTATAAATGATATCAACTTAATTCTCAGTATCATTTAGCTTGGGTGAGGATAGAGAAAAGGATATCAGAAATCCCTTTCTTGAATACATCACCGTTCTGTATTTGATCGCACGTATGAGCTCGTTTGATTTAATTTACATTGTTTTTTGATACCATTTCGAAAAATTATGTCTACATGGTATAAACATTGATGAATCAATAGACATTCTTAGTCTTAAACAGAATGTCTCCAAGGTAATCATTTTCACTAGAGTCACGTTTTTCTACATCTTCTGCACAGTTGAGTTGACAAAATCATTTCCTCACTTTTGCGTAACATTTCCTTTATTCATTCGTTTGGACCTTTCTTTTTCTCCTAGTTTGTTTTTTGCACTTCGTACTATTTCTACAGAACTCACTTTTATTATATAGACTTCAGGTTCAAAATTTCACCCGATAAAATTGAATAAGTTGAGCATTGGGTAGATGGATTATAAGGAAAATTTACAAATCAAATCGGCAATTGTTGTCCATGCCGTCTTCCATAGCTGCAAAATTGATACTGAAAGTACTAAAAGGTTTTTCAAACTACAATGAAAGAAGGATAGCTTAGTCACTTCACATTGTGTTTAACCCTTATGCACTTAACACAAAAGAAGGCCTAACTATCCAACCAAGTTGGACAGTACATCCGAAATAACACGTTATCCACACCAACCACAACTGAAATACATACAAACAAACTGAATTTCGCATTCAGTATTTTTCTTACCCTTTCACAGGGGCACAAACATTCACAATCTGAATTCACGAATTAATAACTGAAACCAATAACAATCATAGAAAGACAAGTTATATCTGATGCCAACTTTCCACTCGGCGCCCAAAATTTGTGAAACTACCAGGTCAAATCTTTACCAAAACTCACATAAAGAACATTTATCCCCATATTATTATTGTGAATGAACAATATGATCTAATTTATCTCCATTTACCATTTAAACATACTATAACTTGTATAGGTTTTTATGATCTGAAGAAGCAGCTCCTACGACGTCGCGAAACGTCAGAAATTTGGTTTTTTATTTCAGTGGGATTTTACAAATATATTTCCCTTATAATCACTTTTATTATCTCATTGGTTCTAATAGAAGTTTGTTGAATGTAAACACGACTGTGCAACTTCTGGAAATGCTATCTCTAAAAAGGGAGACAAGATTTCTCTACTGTAATACCTTTGCTTTACTACTGCATTAAATAACGAACAAGCTTTCCCTTTGAGTTATTGAATCTGCCTCATAAATCTAATTTCGATGAGGTCTGTGGCTTCATTAAGATGGTGCTATAATTAACTTATGGAAGGGTTGACTTAGCTTGGTGTGGATTTGCAGTTACTTAGCTATGCGCTGCATGGCTCTACATTGATTGATTGGTCTCTCTGTCTTGCTCAAACTTTTAGTAAAATCAAGTTAACTGATGCACTCTTTTAATTTTTTTCGATCGAAATTCCCCAGGGATCTCTTAAGATAGATATAAGTCTTTGTCGAGGTAAAATATGAGACTAATTTTAAGAATTATGAATTGTCCTGGTCATTCAATGAGTGTTCAGTTCTAAAAAATGATGTGAAGTTTTGTGAAACCTATAATGACTAGAGATTAACCGTTAAGGTTGTAAAATTTGTAAATAATCGTTGAAGTAAATCCATGTCAGAAAGACCTATGATTAGAGTAGAGGTAAAGGACTCCTGACTAGGGGACTGATCACCAGCTGCTCGAGCTGCTGAATTCTTGAAAATACTTATATAGTGAATTTGTTAAAACCTCATACTTTTTATTCTTTCTGAAATATTTATTGAGTTTTATATTCGTGTTTTTAGCACCACTTCGTATGTCTCCTACAGCTTTACTTGGTTACCCAACACTTGGATATGGAAGTTTGCCTTCTCAACAGGGTCATTTAACTCCGAGAGGTATCCCTCCTTTATCTGAAACTTGTTCTTCCCCGGTTTCCAGTACTTCATCTACTTTCCCTTCATTACTCACTTCTCCATCAGTTGCTGCTAATGTTGCACTAGCTGCTCTTTCAGCTGCTGCAGCAATTGCATCAACAACAACAACGTCGTCGTCACCATTAACAACTTGTACAAAACCTTTACCTGTTTTACCTAATCCTGGTGCAGTACTCGGCCTTTTACCATGTTCTCCACTATCATCACTTGCAGTTGCTCCAATTTTGCCTCAAGTAATATCTAATGATCCAATTACAATGTCAGTTCCTAATCTACCATCAGCGTCATCATTATTGTTATCACTTTCTGAAGGAAGTGTAAGTCCACATGGTTTACACCAACAACCATCTCTTGTTGCTAGTGCAACTTCATCACCTCAGGCTACAGCTTTGCCTTCTCCATCAACTTTACTTGGACTTCATGGATTACAATATTCTGCATCACCTTTACCATCAAATATGGTCAATCCGTTAGGCAATTATGTTACATGCAGGCGTGTTATATGTGTAAGTTTTATTGAAATCACTAACCCTGTGTGTCACCTTTTTCGAGTCTTATTTTTTTTAGTTCATATTAACTGAATTTAACAATTCATTTCCTAATTTTGTTTGATAGTGGCTTCCCTTTCCTGCCAATATCAGTGGGAGCTGTTGGTTACCCCAACGCAAAGTATCAATAACTCACTCCGATATCGAATCCAGATAGGGCTAGTGTTAACCCATCAAAATCATGTTCATTATCTCCTTTTCCTTATCATTTATATATGAAGTTATGTATCAGGGATTGGTAGTAAGCAGATTTATCTAAATTTGTGGCATATGAAACAGTAGGGAGCGAGGAGAGGGGGATACGCTGGACCGGAGAAAAGATCCTAGAAGATTTAGATTCCACCGATGACTTATGTCCAATGTCACACAAACTTGAAGATCTACAGGCGAAAACTAACAAGTTGGCAGAAGAGGCCAGGCAGCGAACATGGGACTTCAAGTGAACCTAGAGGAGACGGAGGTGATGAAGATACCCAACCAACCAACAACAACAGACACCAATCACCATGAATGGGAGAAACCTAAAGGAATTAGCCTCTTGCACCTACCTACCTAGGCAGCACTGTTTCAACTACAGGCGGCGGTGGCACAGACGAGGACATCAAAGCCAGCCAGGATCGGAAAAGCAAGACAGGCCTTCGTTCATTAACCTGAAACCAATGTGGAGATCTACTGCACTCCACTCAGCATAAAGCGTGAACAACATCCTGATTTTCAACACCAACGTCAAGTCAGTGCTTCTGTATGGCTTAGAGACTTGGCGCGTGACGAAAGGCATTTCCAACAAACTACAGATGTTCATCAACAACTGCCTACGCTGGCTCGTTACTGAAGCTCAGATGGCCAAAATAATAAGAATAAGCCACAGGGAACTCTGGCTGGCTTGCTGGCAACGAACCAACCAAGAACCTATCGTTCAGGAAATATGCACTGGAAGGAAGTAGAGATGGATTGGGCATACACTGATAAGGCCGAGTGGGGACATCACGCTCCAGGCCCTCGAGTGGAACCCAGATGGGAAGCTATGAAGTGGGCGTTCGAGGTGAGGGTGACATGTAGGAGATCATGTATCATGTGAGGAAGAAATGAGAGGTTGTGGGCTGTCGTGGAGGCAGGTTCAAAAGTTTGCAGAGAACAGAGTGCACTGGAGATGTGCTACGGAAGACCTATGTTCCATTAGGAACCCTAGGAACAAGTAGTAGTAATAATAATAATATAATAAAGCAACCATATGATTTCTAGTGACACTCACAAGTATTATGTATGCAGGCAAGTAGAGCTATACTATGAAATCGCCTAAGTTTACAAAGATGTTACCTATTTCAACTGATCTCAGTTGTAATATTCAAAATCTTGAGTTCGACTTTGACAAAGGTTATTGATATTTCATACTGAGAAGTCTGATTAGTACCAAGCATACCTGTTTAGTTATGTTTATTTCCCGTTATGGAATAGGGACGAACACACTTTGAATCTCATTAGAAATCTGGTTATTAACCCGATTTCAGACAAAGTTTATCACTTTTGCATTATTTAGCTAAAATGCATCGATGTGACAAGGAATTGGGTAAGTATTCATAAATTTCACGTGTCTTTACAGGTTCCAGAAAATGTCATTAGTATTATACTTGGCCATCAAGGTCGATCTATTATGGATTTGCAGCTGGTCACGGGGACTGCAATACAAATATCTCAAAAGAATATTTATTTAACTGGTGCACAGAATCGTACTGTTACAATAACTGGACCTCAAGCTAATGTACAATGGGCAGCGAGTGTAATTGAACATATAATAGCTATGGAGCACATTAAACGAGAATGTGGTTCAAACCAACAATCATTAACACCTGAATCGGACTATTTACTACATGCTGGGATATCTTATCCTTTCTCATCCTTATCGTCAGTTATTGGAAGTTATCCAGAATACCAAATAACGTCAGTGTCGAACGTACCTACAACAACGTGCGTTATGAGTCCATTGACTGTTCCTGTTACTACTAGTGTCAACGGTAATACCAGTAATATTACGGGCTTGTCCTTTTCATTATCATCTTGTGAAATGAGTGGGGCAAGAAGAAGTGGTGTGTCAAGTGACTCATTATATGTACAAAGTTCTATTGACTCAGTCCCGGTGCATGTAACAAAACGTGATGAAACTAACTAGTTTAATTCGTTCACTATAGCTGTTTCAAGTTAATTGGTAGTCTGTCATCAATAGGATCTGATGATTGAAGAGGATCGAGATGTTGGAATTATATACCATTTGAACTGTTCACTTAACTCTATTCGTCTTTCATTGTAGCAAAAGAAGTAGTTTGTTTCTTTTCCTGTTTTCTTGATGTCATATGGCTACTTTCATATATTTGGTCATTTAGATTACATTTATTGATTTCAACCTGTGAATAATGTACTCCATTTATATTCTTGTTATTGGTGCTTCTCCTATCAGGCAGGAGGCAAAGAAATAATATATGCAACTTGTGATTATTATTTTACATGTCGCCTCTTCGGTGTTGTTATCGAGTTTCTTCCAAATCGCATAATCAAAGCTGAAGATCATTATTAAAGCGCCTCCCACAGATCATTAACTTTATACTTCTTCTTTACCTTTTATTCCACTGTGTACTGTTATTACTGGTGGTGATTATTTCTTTAAAATAACTCAATATATTATATATATGCATAGCATTGCCGGTCAGTTACTACTGAACGGTGAATTTTCATTTCTATTTTGTTTTGTTGAATCACATATTGTTTATTGGAGTGATCCACTCTCAAATTCTGATTATTTTCTTCTACTTTCTTAGAAAGAAAAAAATGTGCTATACGCACATTAATACTTTCGGTACTTTCTCTTCTTATCTTCGTACTCTATCGGTCTAATCAATCATGGCGTTCATATACAAACTGTAATCTCAGACAGATATAAACGTTTTACTTTAGCACAGTTATTTAGAGATATTAACTTAGGCTTCTGTTTGTCTGCCAATTTGTTCCCTTTATGTTTGACGCGTTGGAGAGCACACAGTGAATCCGGTAATATATCTTTTTTTTAGTTATCTACTTAAGCAGCTGCTGATGTCAATTTTACCTTTGTATAATTTATTTTCTCTTCGATAACTTCTTTTTTTGAGTTCAAAAGATAAAATGTCTAGATACTGGGTAGTGATTTGAAGTTTTTTCCCACTCTACTACTTTCATTCTCAACGCTTACTTAAAGTGAGATTTTTTTCTATTTTATCTTGTTTTTTGTCTAGATACAGATATTAGGGCTAAACTGTAGCTTGCCACTGTGTATAGTTATGCTGAATAGTAAAGAAAGATACACACACTGCCATGTTTTTTTAACTTCTTAAACAGATATATCTATCATATTTCTTCCACTAGGCAATGACGGTTATTACAATCTTTGCCGATCTGCGTAATAATTGATAGATTGTTTTATCAGCATTTTTCAGTCATATCTGTGTTCACTATTTGTCTTCTGCCATTGTCATATTATTTCGATTGTCTTGCTTTAGTTATAATTTTCCGGTGGTCTTGTGCCCATTATAGTTTCATTTCATTCTTTCTGGTCATTAATAGTGGTCATGTTTGAGCTAAGAGATTTTCATTTTCAAAGATTTCCTATTTCAGATTTCTACTAACTATTGTTATATCTATTTTCCATTGAATTGATACTGGCTACTTATATTTGTCAGCTGAGAATACACAGCTGAATAGCGGATAATACTACAATGTTTATTTTGTGCATTCATGTGTTGTCGACTTGTACGTTTTTGACGACAGTACAAAACAGGTGTTAACTGTGATGTTGGTAGATGTCACTACAAATAAACACCAGTGACTTGTTTATCAATATAAAATGAAATTGTTTTGTCTATCTACTTTGGCATGTAGTTAGCTGTGTGATGATGCAAGCTGTGGTTTTAATATGTGAAGAATATCTACAGCATATTTTCTCAATGACTGCACTATCACCACCTAGACGGTACCTGTGCAACACACCTCTTCATTTATTGCTGCGTGATTAATTATACCAGTAGTAGTACTTCTGGTAAGCATCTTCGGCTTCTTTTGCTTACTTGTCTATTTCGTGTTGTGTTTTGTTTAGCATTTCGTGAGATGCAGTTAACACGGACCCTTATCAATATGAATTCTGTCCAATACCAGTCTAACTATTTGATAATAGTTTTCTTGAAAAAAATTTGCTTGTCCATTTTTCACCTCTTACATTCACGTACGACGATATCATGTTGGCATTCATCACGGGTCGATATCAATGGTGAGTCCTTTACGTCAGGAATAAGCTGTTTAGCGGCTCTTTTCACCTTTCCTTTATCTTAGTATTGAGGATAGAATTTTCTTACGTTTCGGATAGGTAGGTGTTTTCAAGCCTATCAATACTATTACAGGTGATAATCATCAGGGCACAATGATATGTAAACATAGAACCTAGCAGAAAATTCCTACTACTGCAACAACATTAAAGGAAAAACGTGTAAGTGATGTAAATACAATGTAATTCAGTTTTACAATCAATTAAGATAAAGAATCTATACATGAGGTATGAGATTTTATATCTATTGCTTCAGAAGAGGTGTTAACACATAATCAGCCTATATTGTAACCAAAACTACCAGGCTTCACATTAACAGTTCAAAAATGCACTAGTTGCCTGATAGCCTCTACAGTAAGCCACCCTCTTCGAAATTGAAAATGATTACCAGTATAGCAACGCGAAAACGTATTCACAGTCACTGTTTTCGTTTACCACTGGAACCATACAAACTGCAGTCGTTTGTTCTTTCTTGATTGGTTAGTACTTTGTACATCGAACATGTAAGAATTCCAAGATATATTCAACTGACAGCAAGTAAGAGAACTCATAAAACAATACTAATGTTAATAATGCATACATACTAGTAGTATTAGACAATGCCGTAATCTTGACGGAAAATGAAATCTGAACTCATGCTATAATAATACATGTACTACTGTACAACAGTGTATGAATATTATTCATTACTGGTCGAACCCGATTCAACTGACGAAAAATGCAGATTTGCATGTAAGTCATCAATCGATAGGAAACCGCATATCTAAACTTCATATTTTGTAGAGTCATCATAAGAGCATATCTACAATCTTACGAAACCTCATAAATTCCATATACATCCAAGTGTTTAGTAACATGAACGAAGAGTTTTTACCTGCATCTCTTGCTTGAGATGCGAAGTACTGAACAGTTCGAATTATCTCTTCAGCCAACAAGCACACACATCTCAAAGGCTCTCGATTTCGCATATATTTCCGGTGTCGTACAGTAAATAGTCAGTGTTATGCTTCAATCGATTGACTAACAACTGAAATAGTCAATGAGGTTTCTGTATCGTATGAAAAACTACTATTCTAGCGGAAATAAAGAGACCTAATTGATTGTTTTAGTAGTTAATGGGGTGGTTCTAGGGTCTATTCTTTTAGTCATTCCCTTAAATGCTGAAGTGCAGGAAAATAAGTCAACTCATTATGATAATTTTAAGTTTTTTATTTGTTCAGAATCTAGTCAATACATGTTAACAAAAGTGTGTACAAATTTTAACAAAAAGATTGATTATTACAAGTAGAAAAGGAGAGATAGCATACATTTTACTCATGAAACATATTCGACAACTGATAATATATATGAAATTATGTCTTCACTGGAATTCGATGAACATATTACCCGTATTGTTTCTTCCACTGACAATGATGATGGAGTTAAGGAAGGTAGTATTCTCAAAGTGTTATCGCACAAAGAAAACAGCTTTAAAAGGGTACAACAGTTCTCTTTGATATACTTCCACAAAACTCTATTGTCATACACTAATATAATCGACAAAAATTTTAACAAATATGTAAATGTTTCAATATAACATCTTGGTAAATTTTGTTTCAAATATTTCCAATAAATCAACTGTGGTTTCAATCGACAGTCTAACTGGTTTAATATTCTTATCCACCAAAAATAATTGTTATTATCAGTAACACTACTGAATTGCGTCATTTTTATGGACACATACAACAAATACATCACTTCTCTACTACCTCCCTCCAATGTGAATAATCTGAATAAAAATGAGTCGATAAAACAGCTCAAAGCCTCATCATTTTCTAATTGATGATAAAACATTGGCACATTGAAACACTTTACAAAGTTCGTTAAAGACCAGCATAACTCTATGCCACACATAGACCATGAACATCTACGTTGATGGTACCAATTTATTATTGATAAAAAGTTGTTAAATAAAGATATTTTGTTAGGATGTGTTAGACCCGTTGAACGACTGGTCGACCCCGTCTCAATCTCATTAAAACAAAGACAACCGACAATGCGTATTGCATATAACACACATTCTGATGTCATTGATGGGTATACCAAACTGGAACAATAAACTAAGCATTTTGATAAATAAAGTAAACATTGCATCAGTTTGAAACTTATGTTTACAAAATAAGCTTTCAAATACGGGATTTGGACTAGGTTGAATAACGATTTTAGTAGGTCACAAATAAAGTGAAGTAGATCATGGGAAAAATCATGGTCTGTGCATTTTCTTCCAATGAACAAGTTGCCGACTTCTTGATAGTCGAGAAAGCCAAAAACATCTAAAGTCCTGTCAGGAAAATGATTAAAAGAAAGAAACAAGTAACAAAAGATTATGCTTCTAAACATGATGTGAAAACATCTGATTTAACCAGAAAAATGAACATACTCATGCGTCAAGTAACTGCCATTAAGTACCAAGACGAAGTGTGGTGGTCAAAATTTCACGTCAGTAAAATATGTTGTGCAGGAGTAAATTGATGTTCATTTATCAAGGTGAACCAAGACTCATGAATTTGTACTAGAGCAAATTGCAGTCCGAACTCTGAATAATTTGCAATCTTGAGTTCAATTCATGAAGATAAAATTGTTGATCATCATGATTATACTACATTTCGATCAGCTCTTATAGGCTAGTGGCTGAAGCGATCTCAAAAACGACGCTAAAGGCCCTTATGGGATTTACTACTCTTTGCTATTTTCGGTGCTGACAAGGAAACCATCCGAAAAACACTGTATTTAATGTGAAAGTATGCGATTCGAATTTGAACATAGGTTACTGGTCTCTCCACGTTTCGCGTTTGAAGTAAGAACATAGAACGGAGTAATGTTGAGGTGCAGAGTTGTAATCGAAGACAAAAGTCAAATGTCGTGATTGTGAACCTGTATCTCCTGATGCCATCAGGACATGTCCTAAGCCATCGCTTTAGCCGAAACAAAATGTTAACTAAAATACGATTGGCTAAGATGAAACCTTATGGTGGCTGTTTCAAGAGGGAGAGTGACTGTTGGTGTTAATTCCTTTCTCACTTGTTCTCGTTTATCCTACATGCTGTTACTCTTGTTCCTCTTTTCTTACCTTCAGCTTCATACTACTTAGTACTGAGTAGTATCATTCATGTGTTATTACGATGTTACTCCATCCACAACTTGACTGTTCATCCTATTCAATTGTATCTTGTTCATTATTTAACATCCATAGATATTAGTACCCTTCCTGGTTCACGACGGTGTTGGGATTCTTTTTGTTGTTCTCTGATGTTCTACTTTACTTTGAACAGTTGTTTATCTCGTGTCTTTACCTTATCATGGAATACATGCGTCTATTTCCTTTTGGTTTGCCATGGATACACCTATGGTGTTTGTACTGTTGACGCACTCTCTGTAAGGTGATTGACAACGATAAACCCACAGATATCTTACGATGTGAGGTTTTTAATTTATTATTCACTATTGTTTATTCAAAAAAGTATTTCAGACAAATTCTGTATTTTGGATTTTAGCGTTACTCGAGCGTTTAAAGTTAGAGAATCGCTTTGGTTTCGAATTTCTTTCCAAGAAATTCACACTCGCTATTGACTTTTAAAGAAAGTTAATGATGTTTGAATAAGGTGCTTGATATTTTAGGAATTATTGATTCAGAACCTTCATTATTAGGTTTCGAAAAATATCATAGGGCCAATTTTTTAGTTTTTCATTCGTTTGTTCTTTCCCCTGTTAGAACCATGATTATTTTGTTAGGTGTAAATTTCATCTCGATACTATTGTAAATGGTAGAAATTTCAATCGCCTTGATAAGTCATTGTCTTGCATCTAGACTAGTCTACTAGACTAAAGGCATCTCAAATAGTCTAATCAAACAGTTCGGTAGTAAAATCCATGCTCTTTCGTCTTCAATTTTTGTAGAAATCAATATGAACATTGGAACACTTAAAATAGCTTTAGTGTTTTAGTTCGACTTGTGCAAATACACTTTCCGGAAAATAGATACATCTTATTGTGTAAACTATATCCATTGAAAATTTATTTCTTTAGACACGGTTGTTATTTGTAATAAATTTTCATTTTTATAAATTGAATAATTTTCCATATCACACCAACCTACTTATCTTGTCACGTGTAGCAAAATGAAATTCTCCAAAGTTGGCAAGTATAATTGAAAAAAGATCACTTTGTGTTTACTGGTCAATAAAGATATAGAAATTCTACCTGTACCAGAACTATCGGTAAGTTCATCGCATTGTTAATATGCCCTGGTAAATAAAATTCTTAACTTATATTTAGTTTTTGACGCATGGGAACTGAGTTCAACATATAAGGGTGTTTACATTATGCACTTAAGTCTGTACTCTAGTAAACATCAGAGTATACAATGGTTCAATATACGTAGTACACGCTATTCTATTACGTTAGCCGAAATTCGTCCACCTGAGTAATACAGGTTCGAGCATCTTAAGTAATAAGGATTTTATTGAGGATTCAGATAAATCCTGCTACTGAGTCCAAAAAAGCAGACAACGTATCTCCCTATGATGCAAAACCTAATGTACACTGCATTCTGACATTAAATCAATTAGCGAAGCAATAATACTTTGAATACTGATGTTATATGTAAGGAGTCAACCGGCAGGAAACCGTGGACATGGGAACTGCTTTTACCGTCAAACATTGGGTTGTTTTCGTATTGCTGCGCTGCTTCTGTAGGTAAGTGTAGCGGAATAGATGTAACCATAGAGTAAATAGAAGGCAGAGAGTTGTACTGAGAAACAACCTTACTTTGCAAACAACTCATTGGATGATTTGTGTGGAATCAATCAATTGAGGACAGTTTCTATATTGAACTCGTGTGACAACCAATTACACTATGATAATAAACAGCAATGAATTAATACCAAACTAATCTGTCCCTTGAAAGCTACATGGATGAATAATATTCAGCAATTTATCAGTAGTTTGTTTTGAGAAGAAACGTCTTTGGTTCTGAAAGAGAGTCGGAGTTTATTCAACCATTTAAAGAGAAAGTGTGAGTGGCACGACTGAATAAAATGAAAGTACCATTAGGATCAAGTTGAGAATCCCTATGGGTAGCCAATCAGTTCTGCAGAATGGAAATGTTCTCACTGGGATGTGGAACAGTACTTCTTGTTTTTTCAGTGATTCTCTAACAAATATCAGCTCCTGATAGAAATCAACGTCCGTAAAACCTGTTATTCAGTTACATCTTTGACATTAATTACCTTAAAGAAATATAGACAAACCGATCGATTAATATTATGGTACAGGAAACACAACTTACACCAAACTATCCGCACACGCTGTACACAGCCAAGCCCGTCCAGTAGCCAAACATAAATTTGACAGAGCATACTGTATAACTGACAGAAATTTCTTTCTTTCCACTTTTCTGGTTTCATCATTTGATGATAATAATAACTTCACAGACGGTAGTTTCACTGTCACAATAAAAAGATTCAGAAATGCCGATAGCATTTCCAGGTCAAAGGTATCATCTTCAATGTGTCTGTGAAGTCGTGCCAAATGTTCATGTGATCCAAAACTACTCGATTCAGTAAGAAAGAGTTTAGGTAAGAGTCTGTGGAAAACCTGGCAAACAATAAAATTTTCCAAAAAAATTACTTTTTCTCATGAATGGAAAATGTTATTATAACTCAGAGCTAAAGAAACAGCTTTTCTGTCATAGTAACCTCATTATTGTTACAGGTCTGATAGCTACGCTGAGAATTCCAAATTGTACCACAAATTGTTTGGAATAAAGTGAATTATTATTATCACTATTATTATTGTTACACTCAGTAAATCAATTAGTTTGTTGACAGACAACCTTAATCTGGTTGGCAAGCACCAATAACTGAGTTCAGTAGTTTTCAACAGCTTGTGTCAATCAGCGGAATATATTTTTCAGTTTAATGTCTTTTTTGTTACTTATTTACATTCAAAAAGTGATAACATGAACTGGTATGTCATTCAACCTAATTGAAAAACACTGCAGTTGTTTTCTTCAGTTACCTACTACACAAAATGAGAGATCAGTACACTTTAAATGTCTTCAGTCTTTGAAGTTAGTGCTGTATGACCTTGACGGGACCAAGGTTCTAAAAAACGCTTTGGTTTGTACGAATGGAGATAGACAGCCGAAGCCTTACATATATGGCCAAATTACATGTCATTCATTTGCACTCTATTCCGAAAAATCAATGAAAAATTCGTTAGTATCATTATTCCCTTTATATCAAGCGAGCTGATATACGTATCCACTTCATATGCCCTATTGTACTTATAAAAATCACCGAAAGATTACAGTGTCACCGGTGACCTTTTTGTCTCGTATTTACAACCAAGGAGAATATGAATAGTTGCACACGCGAACCTTACAAGAGACATACAGTTTCACACTGAATGATTACTAGTCATATTTTAGAAAGACAATGACTATACGAAAAGGATTGGATAAAGAGAATAAATACACTTCTTTGGATCTTTGATATTTTGTTTTGATTATTTCCCTGAAGATGCTCGAACCAGACCTTCGTATGAAAAGTTCGAATTATTTCTTTTCAAACACGTTCTGATTTACACGAATACAAACTGTATCTGATGTCAACCTTTTAATCAGCGTCAACATACTTGGGATACTGTTCGACCAAATCTTGAACATAACTGATATAAACGTAGAATCTCGCTTGCAGGTGCATCGGCTCTCGTTGCCACAGTGCAAATCAGTACACAAAGATCAGGTGGATAGAAAAAGTAGTGATATCAAAACGGAAAAAAGTTGTGTGAGAGAATAAACAGTATGAAAATAACGGGTGTGAATATTCAAGCTGCAGAAGATGTTAAGAAGTGAATACATCCCAGCCGATATGACCGATTTTCAGCCATGTCATCAACCCTATCGTCTCGGTGACCCAAGCCAGGTAGTCTACATCTCCCCCATACGACTCAGACCAACAGTAAGAGACTTCACGGACTCATGTTACCTCTTATTCTAGCCTCTCTGAACCCTCTTCCAACCTAATCCAACTTCCCCTAGCATGGCACATCTAGGTGGGCGGTGGCTTGGGATGCACAGTATACGTTCAAGCGATTTCAGTCGACTAAGCTTCACAACTCCTTCAATACACTGTCATGTCTTAACTAGTACTCTTCGCCTGGCCTCAACATCGCTTACAGGGAGATCACACCAAACGCCAGCAATGCTACGTAGACACCTGTGATCGAAATCCTTTAGTTGCTTCGTGTCTTCGACTTTCAAAGGCCATGTCTCACAGTCGTATAACAGGACGGGACGGACTACAGAGCAACATACTCGCACTTTGCTAGATGGTCAGATATCTTGCCACAGCCACAAGTGATGCAAGTTGGCAAAGCCAAACGGACCCTCTGTATCCGATCTGAGATTTCGTCAGCAACCAGCCCGTCGGAATTGATGCCACTACCCAAGTAATTGAAGTAGTCTACACATTCAACCACTTCACTCCCTATCATTAGGCTGGGAGTACTTGCAGCAGACCAGTCCTGGAGCACCACCTTATACGTGACAGGTGCAAAATGAATACCAAAAATACACAGATCTCTTCTCAACGTGTTCACAAGACTGCATTTTGTCAGCGTCTGTACCTCGCAGGACAATATCATCTGCGTATTTCAAGTCAACCAGATGACCTCCAGGGAGTAAGTCAGTCGCACTGAAGTCAGACCCATAGTAGATTATGTCCATTAGTACGTCTATGACGAATATAAGTAGGATTGGTGACAGTGAGCATCTCTGGCGAACACCACTAATTGTCGTCATGACAACTCTTCATAAGCCCTTAAATATCTGCATGAGTTCGAGTAGAGGGCTTTGATTAGAATTATATGTGTGCTAGGTGCCACAACACTTCACAATAGACTGAGTCAAATTGCGCCTTTAAGTTAACAAATATGGAACGTGTCCGCCGCTGGTAGATATGCCTGTATTCCAGGACCTGTCCGAGGGTGAATTTATTACCGGTAAACCCTTGTATAGGTCTGATAGCTGCCTGGTTTTCTCGATTTCGCTGTTCCAAAACTAGAGTTAGACGTAGGGCAACTATGGCGTCTAGTCAAACTAATTCTCTCAGAATTGTCACAGAAAGATTTCTCCCCCTTCCGAAAGACAGTAAAGATCAGTGAAGTACACCAGTCTGACGGCACTACCTCTGATTCCTGTTTAGTACCTATTACTTCCGTCAATCTAACCAGCAATTTTCTACCTCCTTGAAAACTTACGGTGGCAAACTGTTAAGTCTTGCTGCTCTGGATCGTTCCAAGTTCGATACAGAGGTCTCAACTTCAACGGAATTTGAAAGACCGATATCTACGCCCCATTAGTGTTAGGGTTGGCTGGATGTAGAAAAACTGGAACGTCATACTGAGCCAGTTGAACTGTGCTTTAAAGTGTTCTCTCTAATGTTCTAGTCACCTGTCCTGAAAGGTTATCAGCGTTTCATCCTTTTTAGAGATGGTTTCACTAACCATCATCTTCTTGCAGCTATCCTGAATAAGTCTAGATGGTTTGTGGGTGTAACTCAACACTGATCCCTTCTCCATCCCTCTCACATTCGCCACCCCTTACTCTTCCTGATCATTGCGAAAATCCTTGGTCAATTAACGCTTAACTTGATTTTGCTCTTTATCATGGTTAGAGCCAGTTAGAATCAATCTCCCGCATCAATCAGTTTCGATGAGGGTGAGGAAATCCAATGAAGTTCGCTAACCTTCAAGTGTAGAATACCTATTGTATTCACCTCTGTTTCTCTATCAGGCTTAATATGACACCAGGTTTCCTCAAAATAAGCATTGCTGTCACGTTCAGACTAATGCTTTGCTAACTCCTGCCTAAATATGTACTTAGCGTCCTCATCTTTACTACCATATATTTATAACGGCCAGTAAGGCAAAGACATACATGAATCCATAATAGCGTGTGATCGGAGTTGAAACTGGTACCCCAGAAGGAGTAATTATCCTCCACCAATTTTTTCCAACGACGACTTACAGCAATATGACCTGCCTGTGTCCATCGTTGGTTTGAACTAGGCAGACATCATGTGAGACGGTGTCTCTCCTTATGCTTGAAGTTAGTGCTAGCCAGAAACAAGTGATCGTCAGAACAAAATTGCAACAGACGATCACCCTTGTCGGTTCGTTGATATAAGATTCCATAAATACTCCTAAGATGCATTTCCGATTGGTTCAACTCACCCTCCCCACTTGAGCGTTAAAGTTACCTGCCATTGTGACTGCATCTGAACGTTTGGTTTCTGTAGCGAAATTGACGGCTTCTCATAGGATTCATCCCGTGCATCATCCGAACTGTGATCGGTGGGCGCGTGGGCAGAAATTACGAACAGACATCGCCTAGTCCCATGATCCTTCCTAGTCCTTACAGATCCATTCAGTAGAAGAGCACATAGACGACTATTGAATGGTATCTAGTCGAGAAGCGCACTCTCAATGCTATGCCTACAACAGTGAGTTCACGAGAGCTGGAGATAGTATATCCGGACACTCGTAAGGTGAATTTTGACAATTCACTATTATGGTCAGGTGAAGTCAATTTAATAACCACACTCGGATCTTGTATATATGTCTCAGAGACACAGCATTCATCCATCTCTCGAGATTCCAGAGTTGTGGCGAGCGAGTCTTGCTGTTCAATTCGGTATAGATTTCGGATGTTGGAAGTTTCCACATGAAATCGATGGCGTGCGCCTTGGAGACGAGAAATGAGGTTTTGATGGCTTTGGTCGTTGACAACGGTGGCAGAGTAAGAGGGTTGGTGAATGTGTAAGGGGTTTAGTACTAGCATCGGGTGGTGAAGGTAAAGGAGGAGAGGAACAGTTGAGAATGATAAGTTATATTTGAGTGGATGTTTGCAATATGCAGCTAGTAGCGGTATGACTTTGCCCTCAGATCCCATAAAAGTGTATTAATTAACAGTAACAATGGTAATTGCTTCTCCTTATACCAGTATCCAACAGATCTTTTTGACATGATGGGACGTTGAGGGAACAAGCGTTCCAGCCAATGCAGCTCGTTACGTCATTGTGATACGCAACACCAACCACCACGACATGTAAGCAGTTATCGGCCGGTCATCTTGACCATAGTTCATATAAATTAATCCTTTGAATGGGACCGACTTCCTAAAACGACAGATCACTTTCCTTACTGGTCACTTAGTCAGTAAAAAATAATTAGCAACATCCTGTCAGTTGACTATGGGTTTATCCGACGTAAATATGGAAGTTTGTGAAATATTTTACTCATAACACTTCAGTTCTTTGAAAATTCCCATTTTAATTCAAAAGACAGCTTGATGAACATAGAATATTCTCTTCATTACCTTCTTCCTCAGTTTCTAAAGTAATATATTCATGTTGTTTGATCAAATCTCACTGTTATGGATATATTACTCTAGAAACTAAGGAAGAAATCGTTGAAAGGAACATTCTTTGTTCATTAAACGGTCTTTTGAACTTTTTTACTCACGTTTAATCACAGTGTATTTTGATATTTGTATTGTATTGTATTTGATATTAGCGGGAATAAGACGAAACTACTTCTAGTATATACATTGCAGAATGTAATATTAACCCATGAAAAACTGTCAGTTTCCGAGGTAGAATCTCTAGAGCAGTAGCAATCAGTGACTGAAGATCATAGAATGAAGTCTAGACTCCAGACTAACCTCATCTTGTTCTTTATCTAAGAAGTTGTATTCACCTGAAACAAGTAATTCTTATCCTTTCAATTTCTTTTCACTGATCCCTTTTAGGCATACTATAGTTTCTTCTGTTGGTTACCTCTGTGATGTGATGTTTTGGGATATTGTCAACTGAACGTAAACTACTTGTTACAAGTCATCACCACCGATCAACTTATCGATAATGCGTAATTATTATCGATTCCCTGAAGAACGTATTTACATACCATCAGAAACAGATTTGGTGTAATTATACCTATTCACTGTCGTTCCCATTAACATCCATTTTTGAGACTCAACTTGATTAATAAAAGCACAATCATGCTCCGTAAATTCAAAAGCAAACGAAAAATACTAAAATATTAATCATAAAGATCAGCATATTCTTTAGTATGCTGTAGTGTACTAGGCGACTAGCATTGGGATCCAGGATGTATGTTTCACCCTATTCATGACTTGTCAACCGGATGTATCTGCAATCCAATGAGTAGTGGTGTTCCCACTGACGTTTGATCCCAGTGCCTATCGCTTCCAACATCAGAGTGTTATCCAATAAGGCCCGAGAGCCACCCTCTTTTGAAACGGGTATCAGTCTCTATTTATTCATATCTGTAGTTTACCGCTGAAATATTGGATCGAATGACTCGACCTCTGTGGCTCTCGTGACTCACTGGACCAATGGATGACATTCTGATGTTTGAAGCGATGGGTAGTAGGTTCGAGTCTCAGTGGAAAGAACACCATCACTCACAGGAGTGCAGCTGAATGCAGAAGACAACTTTCAAATGAGACGAGACACGTATCCTGGACTCCTATTCACCAAGTATACTACATCAATGCATCAGATCTTCACAATGAAGTGAAGTAAGTGATCTTGGATGGATGCTTACAACCTGCTACTTTGCCTCAGTTTGATTTGATAGGTCGCTTTGTGGCTGTGTGGGCACATGCTGAACCCAACTGGTTGATTTCCTGCCCCCGGCTTTCTCATAGCCGATTACACAAATACCAACACAAGCTAGTTATTAGGACCAATTAACTACAATCAAGTCTAGCGGAAGAAATCTTCAAAACATTGACCAAAGTCATACATATTATCACTAAAAGAAAAGGACAGAAGTGAAAAGCGAAATCTGGTATGAAAGCGGAAAAGCTGTCTGCTACACCAAATAACGAATTTTGTGTTGGTAGGGTAGTGAACCTTCCTTCTAGACGACTGTCAGCTTCAGAGAAAGCCTCTTTATAAAACGGACTGCATTTCAAAGGAAGCAATGCTATTGACCTAGGATTTTTTGTAGCTCTAGAATCGTCTCTGAAGACTACGAATCTCACAAATGATGAATTATAACAAATTCATCAAAAAATAGTTCCACTGATAAGAAGCGAACCCTGGAATAGCAATTTAAGTAGTGAGGACAAAAATACTTTGAAATCGCTCAGAAAAGACAAAGAAATTGTATATCTACCAGCAGATAAAGAAGAGACAACAGTTTCACTAGACAAGACGAAATATATTAATAAGGCAAAAGAATTACTCCAAAAAGAGACTGTATGCAGAAAACTCGAATCCAATGCAATCCAAAAGCTGGACAATAAAATAAGGCATAATTTTGACAAGCTTTTCAAAGAAGGACAGATAAACGAAGTAAATAAGTGGAAAATGACATCAAACGAACCCATACTTCAACGATTCTATGAAAGGACGAAGACCCATCAACCAAATGTACTTCTTTGACTGATTTTTTCACTTCTAGGAATCCCAACATACAATCTATTAAAGTAATTAGCAGAAAAACTGAGCTTTCTTACCAATAAAATGATTAACTCAGTTCCTAAACAAAATCAAAGATATCAAAATATGTGAAGACATAACAAAGATCACCTTCAATGTCAAAGTCCTTTCGTCGTTAGTGAGACTATCTTAAATATGCTTCATAATAATGATGCCTATAAGCTCATATCAATATCAAGAAACCGAAAATAATGGAACTAATAGATATTTCCTTATCATCCACATACTTCCAACTCAATGGTGAGATATAAGAACGAATGATAGTAGTACCAATAGGATCACCAATCCCAGGGATCATTGTAGAAGTAGTTCTGCGACGACTGAGTTAATAATCCTGCCAATCATCAAACGGAAATTATGGATGTGATACGTAGACGATACATTTTCCATCCCTAACAAAAAAGATATCGAATCTACCTGAAAATTAATCAATAATGTTTCGAGAGGAATCAAGTTCATGAAAGAAGAGAATAAAGTACAACTAGCATTCGTAGATATCCTGGTCACAAAAAAAGATGATGGACACAGAAATATAACTCATAAAATCAGATCTCCATTCACAACAGCAACAACTCGATATTTCATGAGAAAGGCTGTGTAAAAACATTTAGACAAGCTGACACACTGCAGTACAACAGTGTTAGAGAGAGGTGAGAAGGAAAGTTTCTTCAAAATCTTCGAAATCAATCATTGTCGAAAGAATTTCATCAAGAGATATCTTCGGCAACGAACAAATCGAAATCTACTGCAAAAACTAACACACCAAGAATATCTCAGAAGTGGCAACCAGCTTGCTGAATCCGCTTGGAGTTGTAGTGTCGCATAATCCAAGTAAATCGGTACGACATATTCTGTGCAAAACCCGATAGACATAGTCAACAACGAGGAAATGACCAACGTTATCTACAAAGTCGGTTGCAGTAATCGCAAGACTACGTCGGATAGCCAAGTAGATCAGTATTATAACGCCCAAATGAACACAAGATGACTGTCAAACGTCATGATATGTAGCCTCCCACCTCAATACACAGTGACAACAACACATTCAACTAAAACAACTGTAAAATACTCGAAAGAAGCTTGAGAATTCTGAGGGGCATGACATTCAAGAAAATTGGCAATAAGTCGCTACCTAGACGAAATAGATGAGCCTATTGAAACAAATCAATTCCAGGAATCAATCAATCTACAAGGAGGATCTTACCAACCAGCAGTGGCAAAGAACACTCTTCCAGTTGGAGCAAATCGAACAATCAGTCAAAAGCCCCGCCTCTCTAATAAATGATAGTCAGCCAGTCAGATCAAATCAACCTTCATTAATTCAACCAAACAAAATTGGGTGGACCAATTATGAAGATGTGACGTCAACGTCGTGAAAGCAAAGAAAATAAATCAACTAACCATGTTGCTCCGCAAGTCAACCCAAGTCAACTAATTGGATCAGTGTACGCCTACACAGTCACCAAGTGCCCAATCAAATCACACTGTGGCAAAGTAACACGCTCCAAAGATCCATACCAAACCAGTTACTTCACTTCCTTGTGAAGATCTGATGCATTGGTGATGACACCTAGCATGATAATGAAAGGCTTACGAACTAGAATCCTTACTCAGAGAACAACTCTAGATGAATACCTACCCACTGAACTACAAATATTCACCATAATTTCTACAGCAACAGTGGTATTTCGAGCCCAGCTTGATGATGAGATTACTACTACCAGTCAGAAACTGGCCAGAGAGTTATCGCAAAAGGATGAAGTCACTCATCCATAAGAGGCCTGACGCCATCTCCAGTATACTATAAGAACGGTGTCAAAAAAGCAACTCTCAGAAAGATGTCAGAAAGTCAATGGATCTCAGCAGGTCCTTCTGAGTTAATGGGTGCGCGTGAATGCATTCCTGCATATCTAAGCACGATGAGGAGCGAAAGCAACTCAGATGTAGACTGAAAAAGTCTACGCAATGAAAGTGATTATGTGCAGTAAAGTCTAAACAGAGGGAAAAGCAAATGTAATAAGTAATAGTACACAGCCATTTGGACATATCAAAGAAAATGAGACGGAAAAAGTCAATATTTAGTGAGATTGTAGAGAAAAAGGATGTTTCGGCGATACATTTACAGGGGCAGCGATTAGAATGATAAGGGAAAAGTCCAACTAACTTCAACCCACATTTGATGACCCCCATCTAGTCACATTCTGAGTGGAATATCGAGATAGATATATGAAGTGTATCAACATGGACCATTAGGTAATAATGCTTATTTCCAAATTGATGTTGATTGATACGACTAAAATAAAACTAAACCTCCCACCGACCACATGAACGTAATTAACAACGGTTATTAGTAATTAGCATGGCAGGTATTGATGAATATTAAGAGATTTTAAGAAATATAACACTCTAATTTAACTACCTACATGTATAACATGACAGAATAGTAGAATTTTTTCTGTCCATGCATTTGGATCATAATTTATGCAGAAATCTGGATGATAGGTGAATGTTGCTTTTAGGAGTCCAGCTAAAGCCTGTGTTGACCAATTCGTGATTCGACCTAATCCAGATGAACTTGAAAATATCACAAGTGGTCCAGCAGTTATATGAAGGAGATTTTCTAGAGCCGGATAATAATCTTCAACCTGTACACTATAAGAAAGGAAGTAAAATAACTTTTTTAATAACAGCACGTTAGTTACGATATACGATGCACGATACATAATAAGAATATTCTATAGAAAAAAACAATAATCTTTGGTGCACATATCATAACAATGTCGGTTACAGGTATTAAGTCAAAACTAATATTATGCAATCACAATGCAACTAATAGAGCCCTTACTTAGTTGGCAACACTTTTAATGATGGGATAATATGGACTTGTGATATCCTTAAAATTCAATGTCTTTTAGCAGAACACCTTGGCTGTACATATAATCGAACTGACCAACTGAAGAATATCTAGTTGTTGACATTCAGAACCGAACAGTTTATTCAATTTTGGTACATCAAAGACACGAAAATCCATAGGATTTGGATACACAGACATTGCGAGTTCCAAACTGAGTGGAAGGTGTGACTCGGGTTCTACAACTGGCAGTTACAAAATAATATTTAGGAGCCATATAAGCAAAATGGTAACTCTGAGAACCCAAATACCTGAACAACTACATTAAGTAATACAGGAATCAACATTTTTAAATAGGGTCTTTGGAAATATGAGAAATTCTGTTTTTATATTGGTTGAATGACGCAACGAGAAGCCCATTTGGAGTGAGATGATACCATTTGTTTCGTAGGGTTTTCATCAGCTGGATACAACATGAATTTTGTTACATGGTTACGCAGCCACTTCTAGTCTAATTCAGCTTATTTTTGAACAGTGTTCATATTGCGTCACGTAATATATATCTATTTCGACGGGATTTATCTGGTTAACCTCTTCTGATTTTTGAATTGTGATGTGTTGTGTTTACTACTTAACAACTAAAAAGTAGTTAAATGCATATAAAATAATTTTGAAGGAAATTCAAGTTTCCGAGAGTACCGTTTACTACTACGACGGTCCAATCTTACCTGAAAGATGCATAAATAGACTTCCTGATTTTGTGTACATTTGTCAGTCTTAATGCTCCTATGTATTTGTGTAGCTGATGCACACAATGAGGTAATTCCATAGAAATAGTTTTGAGCATCATCAGTAATGCCAAAGGAAAGGACAGATGAAGGCAATAAAAAGGTTCGTGCCATCATGTTTAGTAGACAGTGGTCACCAAGTGAATACAAGCAAGGCATATACAACTTACAATCGCATACCGTTCAATCTTTAAGGTGGTCCATATATTCATCTAGTACACACTACAGGAACTATAACTGTACATATTTACAGACTAGGTCCTTGATTCCAGAAATTTGTTCAACCACAGGGTTAATTAACCTCTTGCTTCATTTTTTTACGTAATGGATAAAAATTGTTTACAGACGACCCGTTCCCTTGCTTAGCCTGTACTGTTTGTTCCTTTATTTTTCCGACTCCTTAGTCTAAGATGGGATCAATTGACCAAATTCCTAACATTTCGTGTCAGTTATTGTGGAGTTAGTCAAATAACAACATGTTTATTCTTATTTTATACCCTTACTAATCCTGTTATTATTCTATTCGACAGTTGGCATTTTCATTACTGTAAATAATAATTTTACGATCAACTTTAAATTCGTATTTGTTCTTGATTTAACCTGCTACCACTGTGGTTGTTTCAGATAACAACCAGATAAGACATAGAAGAGGACCTGATCGAAAAAAATTGGTTCTTTAAATGATGTCAGTAAGTAATAAAAACTACCCTGAGAACAATTTCTCATTGCACTTGAAAGACCAATGACGATGTACAATGAGAAAACCTACACTGATTACATTTGAATATAAATTACCTGTGAATTTTGTGGACTATATTTGACGAGATACATATTCACCTTTCCTCTTTAATGTGTAATAAAAATACTTTTGATTTTTCTCTAGAAATAACTTATTCTATTGTCAGCAATGAAGTAAAAGAACTAAAATTAATCCGGTGAGTAACTAGGGGAGCCCAAGAGCAACAAAATGTTTTCAGACAGCAGTTCACTTATACGTATTCTTAAGAACCATATATTAGGTGAGATTATATTCCTAGGCGTTAAAGATATCAACAAAAACTCTGTTAAGCTATGAGTTGTCTTTAATTTTCTAGAAAAAGAATCATACAAAACCTTTCATTTTACCAGCCGGTTTGAAAAACACTTATTCAAAAGAAATAAAGGCTTGAATAACACCAAACTTACTTCCTAGGTATAAAAAAAATCAAAGCATCTATTATTCGAAGAAAAAAAGATGGAATTTCTTTGAAAGCGTATATGAAAATAAAAAGATTGTTTCAGATACAGTAATATACACATACATTTGAAAATTTACCAACGTAGAATTACCACACATATTTTTACCTTGGTAAAAGTGACGCTTTACAGCAGAAACTGATTTAGCCCCTTTCACGCTAGAAAAAACTTGTAGGACCTTAACACTGGTAAGATTCCAACGGTAACATTGAGAAAGTTATTCGTTGCAGCAATATATAATTTCCCTAAAATATCAACAAACTCAAACTTCCAAATTAAAATACAGATACATATTGAGTCCATACATGTTTATAAGCAGCATGTACATCAAATGGGAGGTAGCATAGATATTGTATATCAGGGTACTTCGGATTCTTATCAACCAAAATCGAACTTGATCCACGCGTGGAAGAAAAGTTAGATCATTACAATTACTTTTCTAGTGAAACAAAGGGCTTCAGTAGCACGTCTCCATTTCACTCTGTTCTCCGCAGTCTTGTCAACCTGCCACCACGACTGCCCACAACCTTTCATTTCTTCCTCACATGATCTCCTCCATGTCAAACTCGCCACGAACGCCCAACTCGTCGTCCCCCATTCGGGTTCCACTCGAGGGCCTGACTTGGTGTGGCACGTGATGTCCCCGAATGGTCTCTCAGTGTATCCCCAATCTAATCCATCTCCACTTTCTTCTGCATATTTGTTGGGCAATGGCTTCTTGGTTGGTCCGTTGTCAGCTAGCCAGTCAGCCAGTCAGACATCCAGAGTTCCTTGTTGCTTATTCTTTTTATTCTGGCCATCTGATCACCATCTTCTGTATCGAGTGAGCGTAGGCGGCAGCTGTTGATCTGATGTATGTATGTATGTATGTATGTCTGTAGTTTGTTGGAAATGTTTTTCGTGAGGCGCCAAGTTTCTGAACCATCACATAGAAGCACTGACTTACTTGATTGAATTAGTGTTGAGAATCCGGATGTTGTCCACGCTTTATGCTGAGTGTAGTGAAGTAGATCTCCACACTGCTTTCAGGTTAATCAACGCCTGTCTTGCTGTCTTTCCGATCCTGGCTGGCTTTGACGTCCTCATCTGTGTCTGTGCCGCCTGTAGTTGGAACGCCGCTGCCTAGGTGGTAGGTGAAACAGACTACTTCCTTTGGGTTTCTCCCGTTCATGGTGACTGATGCTTGCTGTTGTTGTTGTTGTTGGTTGGTTGGATATCTTCATCACCTCTATCTTCTCTACATTCACTTGAAGTCCCGTGTTCGCTGCCTGGCCTCTTCTGTCAACTTGTTGGTTTTTGCCTGTAGATCTTCGAGTTTGTGCCACATTAAACATAAATCATCATCGGCCAAATCTAAATCTTCTAGGCCCTGTTCATCGGTCATCAGCATATGACCCTCTTCTCACTCGTCACAGTTTGTTGCATCATCCGGTCTGGTCGACCATAATCAGGAGGATGATCGGTGATAGTTGGCGGCAGCCTTGTCTCACTCCTGTCTTCACTTCAAAGGCGTCACTGAGCTTTCCATTGTAAATCACTTGGCATGTGGCGTCTTCATATAGCTGTTGAATGAGGTTGATAAAGGTTTGTGGTACTCTGTAGTGTTGTGAAAGCTGCCTGTCAAATTACTTCTCAGTCGACGCTGTAGAAGGCCTTTTCAAAATCGATGAAGTTGAGTCGACTGCCACTCTATGCTCTGTTCTATGATGATGATGATGATGATGCATAGCGTAGCGTTGCAATTTCATCCGCACATGATTTGTTTTTCATGAAGCCAGCCAGTCAGCCTGTTCCAGTAGTAATTCTGAATCAAGCTCACCTTTTAATCCCTCCAGGATGATGCGGCATGATATTTTGCTTGGAGTGGACAACAGCATGATTCCGCGCCAGTTGTTGGAAACACTTAGGTTTCCCTTGTTTGGGAGTTTGACAAGTTAGCCAATCTTCCAATCGGCAGGTACATTTCCTTCCTTCATTGCAAACCTTCTGCAGTAGTGGTGTGAGCATGTCGGCTGATGTCTCTGCGTCTGTTTTCAGTGCTTCTGGTGGAATTCCATTTAGTCCTGCTGCTTTCCCGAATTTCAGCAACTTCACTTCTACTTTTGTTGGTGGGTCTGTGTTCATTGATAGTTCTGTGGCTCGGCTGCTGCTGGTGGTGGTGGTGGTGGTGGTGGTGTCCGATTCAAGAGTTTTCTGAAGTGGTCAGCCCATCGTTTCCTTTGTTTCTCCTCTTTGATAACTAGGCTTCCTTCACTATCTCTCATTGGTTTCATCTGTGTTGATCACTTCCCAGATAGTATTTTGGTTATTTGATATAGTGTTGTCGGGTCTCTGTCTCTCCTCTCCTACCAGCAGTCTGTTCTGCTTCAGTTGGTAGTGTGTCGTAGAGGTGTCTTTTGTCTTTGTGATCACTCTTCCTCACTTCTTTGTCCAGTGTAGCGTTTTACAGGTTGTATTCAGTTCCTCTTTTCGTCGATCATCCCTCAACTGGTTCATCTTCTGCTTCACCATCTATCTTCCTCTCCCTGTTCTATCAGCTTCCATATTTCCGTGGTGATCCATTCCTTGTCTTGCCTCTTCTTCTTCCTTCCTAACACGGTTATGCAGGTTTCCTTCCACGTCTCTTTCATAGAGTTCCAGTGTTCTTCCACACAAGTTTCCTCGAGGATGTTGCTCAATGTCTTCCATTTTTTCCTGATGACTGACTGATGTGAAGATCTCCTTTGTAGTTTCGTCCTTCAGTTGAGTTCAGTTTTTGTTCTGGGTGGTTGTTGAAC